CTAAGCATAAGCCTACTAAGCCTAAGAATACTAAGCATAAGCCTACTAAACCTATGCTTACTAAGCCTAAGCCTACTAAGCCTAAGCCTACTAAGCCCAAGCCTACTAAGCCCAAGCCAATAAGCCTAAGCCTACGAAGCCTAAGCCTACCAATATTAAACCTAAGCCTACTAAGCCTTAGCGTACTAAGACTAAGTCTACGGAGCCTAAGCCTACTAAGCCTAAGCCTACTAAGCCTAAGCTTACTAAGTCTAAGCCTATTAAGCCAAATCTCACTAAGCCGAACTCTATTAAGCATAAGCCTACGAAAGTTAAGCTTCCTAAGCCTATCCTTATTAAACTTAACATACTAAGCCTGTGCTTTTTAAGCCTACTGATCCTAAGCCTACTAACATAAAACACTTAATATAAAATTCTTTGCTTAAAATTTCTATAAAACCTCAAAAATGACCTTGTCATCAAACTGAAAGCGTTACCTTCTACTCTTTGTGGCCTAATATAAATCTCAACGGATTTACGACCGTTGTTCTTAAAAAACATAAAGAACGCTCATAATTTGAACTATAAATCTAGCTGGAGTACACTAAAAAAAACAAAGCTTTAGTAGGCCTAAAACAAAGACTATGTTAAGTTTAAAACAAAAAAATATCTAGCTTAAAAAATTTTTACTAAGCCTAAAACAAAAACCTTATCAAGCCTAATATATATTTTATTAAGCCTAAAACAAAATCTTTACCAAGCATAATATACATTTTATTAAGCCTAAAACAAAATCGTTATCAAGCATAATATACATTTTATTAAGCCTAAAACATATATTATTAAGCTTAAACTACATTTTATTAAGCCTAACACAAAAACCTTGTTAAGCCTAAAATATATTTTGTTAAGCCTAAAACAAAAACCTTATTAAGCCTAAAATATATATTATTAAGTCTAAACTACATTTTATTAAGCTTAAAACAAAAACCTTATTAAGCCTAAAATAAAAATTAACATATAGTATAAAAAATATAAATCAAAGAACTAAAGTCATCTCAAAATAACAGTATTCAAATTCCAGAACCTCTCGAGTTCTCACGGCCTTGGAGGGGGCAACTTCTCAAGATTGACCGAATTAAATGCTTTCAGTCCTCTGACCTCGCGCCGAACAATAGCCAGGATTAAGTGACAACTTAATTTTGCATTCAAATTGACTTGGAAATTACTTTTTTACAAACATAATACACTTATCATACTTTGCTTGAGGGTTTTTTACAACATTTTAAGTAAAAAATTAATTTTTCTTAAAACTTTAGGCTTAAAATTAGTTTTTTGTACGGTCTTCTCTATATATAGTAAACCATCTGTATGCGCAACTCTCCTTATAGTAAATAAGATTAAGATGGGTATGTTAGGGTAGGGTAGGGTAGGGTAGGGTAGGGTAGGGTAGGGTAGGGTAGGGTAGGGTAAGGTAGGGTAGGGTAGGGTAGGGTAGGGTAGGGTAGAGTAGGGTAGGGTAGAGTAGGGTAGAGTAGGGTAGGGTAGGGTAGGGTAGGGTAGAGTAGGGTAGGGTAGGGTAGGGTAGGGTAGGGTAGGGTAGGGTAGGGTAGGGTAGGGTAGGGGTAGGGTAGGGTAGGGTAGGGTAGGGTAGGGTAGGGTAGGGTAGGGTAGGGTAGGGTAGGGTAGGGTAGGGGTAGGGTAGGGTAGGGTAGGGTAGGGTAGGGTAGGGGTAGGGTAGGGTAGGGTAGGGGTAGGGTAGGGTAGGGTAGGGTAGGGTAGGGTAGGGTAGGGTAGGGTAGGGTAGGGTAGGGTAGGGTAGGGTAGGGTAGGGTAGGGTAGGGTAGGGTAGGGTAGGGTAGGGTAGGGTAGGGTAGGGTAGGGTAGGGTAGGGTAGGGTAGGGTAGGGTAGGGTAGGGTAGGGTAGGGTAGGGTAGGGTAGGGTAGGGTAGGGTAGGGTAGGGTAGGGTAGGGATTCTTTATGGCGGCATCTAATATATGTATAAAAAGGTTAAATACAATCAGAGAAGGGCAGGGCACGTCAGGCACTTTCCCTGTAAGTTTACACAAACAAACACAAAACAAAGAAAATGCCATTTTATGTCGTTGAACATAACATAATGGTCATGGTCTCGATAATTGGCATATGTTTACAATAGCGGAATCGTCTTTCCATCGCTACGCAAAATAATTGTCACATTTAGTTTTTATGCAATAAAATTTAAGTAAATCGTAGTATTCTTTATTTAAATAGATTATGAAGTTAAAAACAAATATACTATTTTTTATGTTATTCATAGATGTAATGGTGCAAATCAAATTTAAACATTAGATTTATTTGCATTCACAAATTTCGAAGGCCGCAACGCAGTAGCTTTCTCGATATCCACTGAATTCCTTGCAACAAACAGGATTGCCCCCAAAAAACGTACTAAACTTCGGTTTACTACTATTGACCTTAGTCAACTAAGCTGTTAAGTTTAATAAATGTAAGGTTATTAAACGTAATACGCTAAACTCTGGTACGGCAAAATATACTGATAATTAGAGTTTAGCTCGTAGGCCTTTTTACCTTACCCTACCCTACCCTACCCTACCGACCTTACCCTACCCTACCCTACCCTACCCTACCCTACCCTACCCTACCCTACCCTACCCTACCCTACCCTACCCTACCCTACCCTACCCTACCCTACCCTACCCTACCCTACCCTACCCTACCCTACCCTACTCTACCCTACCCTACCCTACCCTACCGACCTTACCCTACCCTACCCTACCCTAGCCTAGCCTAGCCTAGCCTACCCTACCCTACCCTACTCTACCCTACCCTACCCTACCCTACCCTACCCTACCCTACCCTACCCTATCCTATCCTACCTTACGCTACCCTACTCTACCTTACTCTACTCTGCCGTACGCTACCCTGAATGTTCCTACCATAATGTAGCCCGCCTAAAACATCAAATTTGACAGACAGTACTGAATAACATGTTGTCCATCAATTTTCTCCTTTTCATAACCGTTCCCAGCTTTCAGCCATGTCGTCGGATTAACTGCTTAAATTTCGAATGTTTTTTTAATTTTTGAAGAGTCGAATTGACGCGAAATGTTTCGTGAACCTTCGAATAGGCCAGTCCAAATAAAAACGAGTCAAAACATTTTCATTTCTGGATGCACTTTTGGCGCTTTTACTTCGATCGGAAGGCGGGTTTTTATCGGATTTTGACATTTTTTGATTGTGCTTTATGTTTTGCTGTTTGGCTTGTTAAATTAAGTAGCTTTGATTGGAAAAACAAAGGGGGGGGGTGCTTGTTTAGGGAAAAAAGAGAGGGGAAGATGAAGGCCGTTTTATAAATTTTGGAAAAATAATGTTTAAAGAAAACCTAACTTTTTAGGTAAAAAAATATTCATTTCTTTAGAAAAATAAATAAAAATTAATATTTATTGTTTTGCAAAGAAAGTTCTTGCCATTTTTTGTTTTGTAAAGAAATTTTTTGTCATTTTTTGTTTCGGAAAGAAAGTTTTTGTCATTTTTTGTTAGGTCAAGGAAGTTTTTGCCAATTTTTGTTTTGGAAAGAAAGTTTTCGTCATTTTTTGAATTTTTTAAGAAAATCCTTGCCATTTTAAGTTTGGTAAAAGCCATTTTTAGCCTTTTTTAATTCAGAAGTTCAAAGTAAAAAAAAATAATTTGAGGCTTAAATTAAGTCTTTATGTTTTTTTTTAATTTACTGACAGGAAAGTACCCACATGCCCCGCTCAGAATCAGCTCAAAATTTTTACACGAATTCTTTATACTACTAATAGTACCCATAAAAAATTTTAGTTTGCGCTATTGAGATTTAATTTAAATTATTTGGGTTTCTCGCCAATTTGGCAAATTTGGCATTGCGTTTCAAGCACTTTTTTCAGTTTTCCAGATACGTTACGCTTACAAATTTAAAAATGTAGGTTCACTTAAAGTTATTCTACTAATATATCAAAAAAAAATAATTAAAAGTTAAAAAATGACAAAGTTACAAGCTTGAAACACAATGCCAAGTTGGCGGGAAATTCAAAATGTCATTTTTCGATCTCGATTTTCTCGAGATTTCCTGGAAAGCGCGATTTAGTACTTTGCTGAAGATCTTATATTTACATGATCTTTCTGTATAAAAAGTTTGTAGTCAATCAGAGCGGGGCAGGTCCGGGCACTTTCCTTGTGAGTTTAAATAAAAAAGGCCTTTAGGCTTACGCTAAACCTAGTTTTCGAAAAAACATTTAAAAAGTTAAATTTAAAAATCTTTTTTATTTTAAAATCTGAAAGTTGACGAACTCAAAAAATCATGCCAAAACACAGATTTGATGAATAACATTTTTCCGAAATAGCCAAATTGGGTCCAAAGTGAATAACGATATTTGAGACATTCATATGCAAAATAAGCTTGCGTGCTTCTTCGTTTTGACTAATCGAATTGTTTTGTCTATTTTTTGGACGATTACTATCATTTTAAATTAAGCACCTTTGTGAATATGTTATGTTTAAATAGTTTGTAACTTTGAAATTTAGTATTTTTAAAAAAAAATTTGGCACACAATAGTAAATAGTAGGGCTATATGTCTCTACTATAGTACTAACCTTTTGCTACTTTCTGTTGATGTCATAGGGCCATGTTTTTACTGTTTAGTACTAGTAATAACTTTTTGAGCTTGCTTACTACTAGGAATGGTATTTTAGTAGTGCGTGGTACTAGAAATATTTTTTTGTACTACTTAGTACTAGTACTAATTTTTTTGTACTGTTTAGTATTAGTAATACTTTTTTATGATTGTATAGTACTAGTATTACTTTTGCGGTATCCTACAATAGCATTACTTCAAAATTAAATCAGCAACATTTTTGTACTATATATTATAGTACAAGTATATGCCGTTTACGTGCATTCATATAGTACTCATTAGCGTTTTGGTGCTAAAAGATTCTTTCGTATTTTAGTATTAATGTCCATACAGTTCTTGCTGCTTTTAGATTGGGTTAAAGTATGCGAAACTTCTTGACTGCAATTACTGAAGAGCCGAACATTACCAGAAAACGATCCAGATCCGAGGTTTTGCCCGATTCAGTCTTTGAGTGGGTTTTAACTTAGTATATACTTAGATAAAGCACAAAAATGCTTTTAGGCATAACTTAAGCTTGAATCGAAACTTGCTAATTGTTTTTTAAAACTATCTTGAACAAAAAATATTTAGGCTTGTTATAAGCCTAAAGTAATTTAAGCTAGGCCTAGGTCTAGCCATGCAAAAGTTTTGGTTTTTTTAGAATAATTACGACTAAGCCTAAGACAGACGTATGCGTTTTAACTCAATTTAAGCTTAATATAATTTTCTTTTACAATAAGCCTAATAACTACTTAATCTGTCTGAACGTTGATTCCATAGAATTTTTTTTGATTATTACAACCTTAATCTTCTTCTTTTTTTTTGTTAAAACACAAAAATGCCTCGTGCAAACAAGCAAAAAATATTAAATCCGCTTCAGGCCACGTTTTTTTGACAAATTTCACAAAACGACCTTTCGGCTTTGTCTATGTTTTTTTCATTTTTAAACCCACTTTCGCAATTTGGCCACCTGTGATCTGGCTTTGAAGTTTTTTAAGTTTAGAACTGAGGTAGACAACGTGTTTGTGACGCAATGTTTGTTTTAGGCTTATGATAGGCTTAAAGGGAGGCTTTTTAGAAAGTTTTAAAAATTTTTGTTTTAGACTTCTGATAGGCTTAATGTGAAGTTTTTTAGAAAGTTTTGAAAAATTTATAAAAGTTTTGGCTTTAGGCTTATTATAGGCTTAATGAGATGTTTTTTTGGGAAGTTTTAGAAATTTAATAGAAGGTTTTGTTTTAAGCTTACGGTAAGCCTAAACTAAGCCTAAAAGAACAAAAAATCAAAATTTTTTTATAATTTTTTAAAAATATCGTTTTAGGCTTACAATGAGTTGGGAACAATATAAAGTCAAAAAAAAATTTTTTTACTTCAGTTTTAAGACAAGCCTAATGTTAAGGTTTTAGGTTAATATTGCAACTAAGAACGAAAATATTACTCTTTGCCTTAGGCTTATAAGCTTAAAGTTATCATTTTGACATAAATTGAAAAAGCAAAGTTTTTCATTTAGGTTAACATAGGTTTAAATTGGCACTTTTAGGCTTAAGTAACATAAAATTTGAAAATTTAAACTCTTCAGACTGTTGATAAGCCTAAACATCTAAAACCCCAATTAGAACCCAAATTCATTATTTTTACCAAAATTTCAAACGAAAAAACAAGCCCAATATTTGGATGAGCCGGCTGTCTGTTACAAATACGTCTTGATACAGCACGTTGTCTCTGACGTTCTGCTCCTCGTGTTCTCTTTTTTCACTTGGAGTTTTCCGGCATTTTTCAAATTCTTTTTGTTTTTTTAAATCTGCTAATAGACAAGTTGAATAGATTTGGAGGGCTGTTTAGGTGTTTTAATAGTTCAAAGGAACATTTTGATGAGGGAGGGGAGCTGTTTAAATTTTAAGGAATTTTTGGGGGGGCTGAAAAAACTTGAAGGTTCTATAAATCAAACTGATAAGCCTTAGCCCACAGCCTTAGCCCAGAGCCCTAACTTAGAGCCCTAGCCCAGAGCCCTAGCCCAGAGCCCTAGCCCAGAGCCCTAGCCTAGTTCCTAGACAGTCTGTTTCCTCAGGGCTTAAAAATTGAGGTTTTTGGCCAAGGATTTTAATCTTTTTTGCGCAAAAAAATTTTTACAATAGCCTTAGAGAAGTTACCAGAAAATTTGTTGCGCCGCTTTTATTATGTAATATTTATGGTATTACGTAATATCTGACTCGATGTAAAACGGCCCAAAAAATTACTGCGAGTGCGGCAATCTCATTCCATATGTTTTCGAGGGGTCGTTTTCTACTCTACCCTACCCTACCTTATCCTACCTTACCCTACCCTACCTTACCCTACCTTACCCTACCCTACCTTACCCTACCCTACCCTACCCTACCCTAGCCTGCTCTACCCTACTCTAAGTAGAGATCAATTTACAATAATATAATACAGCATGCTACCTATTATTACGTACTTACCAAGACCAACCATAAACTTTAATTTCCCACTTTCAGTTTTGCCCACCTGTCCCACAACTGTGCCTGCTCCTATCTGATGAGTGCACCATCAGCACAAAGCGTGTTGACGGCGGAAGTGCGGGATTCGCCACGCCGCAGTAGCACGCCAGATGTGGAGCCGGACCTTGCGATCTTCCGGAACGGCAAAAAAAATCATGACCGATGTTTTCGACCAGTGCATTCGGAACGAACGCGTAGGCTTTTTGGAGGAAGGGGGGGGATGGAGTTGGGGCGCTAAATGGAGTATGGGTGGTAAAAACGTTTTAGGGCAAGATTTTTGCCATTTTTTGTTTTGTAAATAAAGTTCTTGCAATTTTCTGCTTTGTAAAGAAAGTTCTTGCCATTTTTTTGTAAAGAAAGTTCTTGCAATTTTTTGTTTTGTAAAGAAAGTTCTTGCCATTTTTTTGTAAAGAAAGTTCTTGCAATTTTTTGTTTTGTAAAGAAAGTTCTTGCCATTTTCTGCTTTGTAAAAACAGTTTCCGCAATTTGGAATTAAAACATTGCCCATGGCCGTATTAAGTAAAGACTAGAATGGAATTTGAGTATATCCCACCAAAACTGTGAAAAAGGAGAGAAAAACGAAGAAGGGGCATCTGGAAGGTTCCAAAGTTTAGGCTTACATTATTTTTATTCGAAAAAACCGAGCGGAACGCTGGGGAGAATGTTGGGATTCAACGTTTTTGGGGCATTAGGGTTGAATGAAACTTTTCGACTGTGAAATTTGAAATTGATAGGGTTTATTAGGTAAAACATTTTATCAAAATATAAAATAACAAGAACTTTCTTTAAAAAATGTAAAATGGCAAGAACTTTCCTTACGAAATGTAAAATGGCAAGAAATTTCATTTCAGAGTATAAAATGTAAACAACTTTCTTTACAAAATATAAAATGGCAAAAAAAAGTTTTTTCCAGGACATAATAGGTAAAATTAAATTTTTTTACTTTTTTAAAATTTTGAAGTACTTAAAAGAAATGTCAAATTTCCCCTTTTTTCCTTATGTAACCCAAAACAGACGATTTTATAATGAGGAGCCAAATATTAAGGGCTCTTTCGGCCGCTTTTTGTCCTTATTTTTCTGGAAAAGGGGCTTCAAACAGGACGTTCAAGATGACGTCTTTGTGTTTATAAAACGAGTCGTTTCGCGCGTTTAACTATGCATAACTTGATTTTGGCACGACGTCAATATATACGATGATGCACATCGGTTTGGTCGGTTCATTGTTTGATACAACAATTTTTTTACTTTCCTTTTGTTATTTGTTATCTTTGCGGGTGTAGTAGCATTTAAAAATTGTAGTATCTCTTGTCTACAAATCTAAAAATTTGTTTACATTAAGAGAACGGCACTTTTTAAAATTAATGTGTTTGGAGTAGGGGTGGGGGTTTAAAATAACTAAAACACATTTTGCAAAAAGGAATATAACGAACCCCCTTCCCTATTACGAACAACTTTTGAATCCCCATCTGACAATGCATAGGGAGTTTAAAACCTCTGTATAACAAAACCTCATAACGAGCAAATTTTAAATCCCCTAGCGATTCGTTGTAGAGAGTTTTCACTGTACTTTTTCGATTTCAATTTTAAAAATCTTGAAACAGTACTGTTTTAGAAATTTTTAAGTAATCGGTTTAAAAAGCCATTTTATAAGAAGCATTGAAATTAAAAATTCTAAGCTTTACAACTTAATTTTATGATTAGTATTACCATATGTTTCAGCATATGTCAAAGATATTTTGTCACATAATCTACTTTAGTTTAAGATTATGTTCACTCTTAATGTTTTAATCGCTTCCTAAATAAAAAAGTCAAAATTTAAAACATAGTTTAAGCTTAAAAAGCCTTGTTTAGGCTTGAAAAATTCTTGTTTAAACTTACAAACTCCAGTTTACGTTTACAAAACCCCAGATTAGGCTTAAAAACAAATTTGAAATAGCTGAAACCTATGTTTAATCTTTCATCTATCTATTTATTTACTAATATATTCTTCTAGGAAAGTAAATGCGTATTATTCCTCTTCCGTATACTAATAGAAAGCCATGAATTAAATATCATGCATAGCTTTTCGCTTATTATTTATTATAACTCATCATAAATTTTTTTTGACTAATTAACTCAAAGTCTGTCAAATACTGTCTACCAATTCGGTATTGACTATAGTGTCACGCAAAGGGTTTTTGTGGGGACGGGTTGGCAGGGTTAGTATGCTTATATTAATACTTGGGATTTTAATGGTTGTGACAGAAGTGAGGATGGGTAGGGTGGAATAAATGTAACTATAGGGTAAGGTAGGGTAGGGTAGGGTAGGGTAGGGTAGGGTAGGGTAGGGTAGGGTAGGGTAGGGTAGGGTAGGGTAGGATAGGGTAGGGTAGGGTAGGGTAGGGTAGGGTAGGGTAGGGTAGGGTAGGGTAGGGTATGGTAGGGTAGGGTAGGGTAGGGTAGGGTAGGGTAGGGTAGGGTAGGGTAGGGTAGGGTAGGGTAGGGTAGGGTACGGTAGGGTAGGGTAGGGTACGGTAGGGTAGGGTAGGGGAAGTTACTTCGGGGTAGTAAATAGTTATGACATGAATATATTACATAATATTGCATAACAAAATTTACTCCAATCCCGTCCAGTCGACTTGTTTTCACTTTGGCCATAACTTTGTTTTTTTGTTTTTAAGGCTTGTTTTGCACTTTTAAGAGGAAGTTAGGAAAGTAGGAGGAGGAGCGGGTTAGGGTGTCCATTAACGTTTTTGTTTTTTAAGAGGTGTTAAGCCTAAAATGTTGTTTTCTTGCAAAGATTTTTCGAGCCGACTAGCTTTTTTAAAAGTGAAGCTAGTATAGGTTTCCTTTCACTTAAAATTAGTCAAAATTTAGCAAAGTAAACAAAAAGAAAATGTAAAAGAGAAACGTTCCTTCTTATTTCAATGTTGACATTGGCACGAAAAATTGTTTCCGGAAGGCATTTATATAAATTTTATTCAAAATGGAATTGTAGTGCTTGTTTTAAATAGCATTTTTGACTTGCTTTAGGCTTTTTTTGTTTTTTACTGGTATATGTTACAGTATGATTTTAAAATTATTTTTTATTTATATTTACATTAAGTCTTGCCGCCTTAGCCTTAGGCTTAGTCTTATCCTTATCCTTATCCTTATCCTTATTCTTATCATTATCCTTATCCTTATCCTTAGCCTTAGCTGTAGCCTGAGCCTTAGCTTTTCTTACCCTCTCCTCCCCCCCCCCCTTCCTCCAAACTGACTTTTAGTCTATCGCCCATACCTTAAAAAATTACAATAGCTCACGAAAGCCCACTTAAAATGCTCCAACAGGCCCATTAAGAAAGTAATTTCCACATTTTCCCATTTTTTCCAAAATGACGTCGTAAATGCCCTTTAGGCACAAACTTCCATCAATTCGAGCCGTCTTTACATTGTCGGGATTAAAAAGCGGTCGATGCGGCCCAAAAACAACTTTGTTCCTTAAGTGTGTGCATTTCATTCTCAATTTGTTTTATTTGCAATTCGAAGCTTTTCAAGCCCGCGTGGTGTCATGGTAACATTGCCAAAAAATTTTATCACTTTTTGTCGAATTAGGTGTTCTTTTGTTGACATTAGGGCGTTCAAAAGAGGGTGGTTAATATTAATCATGTTTTGATTTGATTATTGGCCTTTAAACTTTTTTTTGTGAATACGCTTCTTACTGTAGTTTTAATAGCATGGCTTTAGTAAGTAAATGATAAGGCTAAATGTAAGGCTAAGGCTAGGACTAATCATATATATATGTGCCGACATAAAGAGCCCGCCATACTTTTCCTGTAATTTCTTGTAAAAAATGGCGAATTCTTTATGTCGGCAGCTAATAGAATTTTGAAGTATCTTATAGCGCATTTTGTTATGAAACCTAAAAATAGCCTAGCTTAAAACCCTTGTTGTAATATTATCCATAGTCTGATGCATTTGTATTTCCACGTCTTTCTTGACGTCATGCCACAGAAAGGCATTCTTTTTGAGATTCTTAAAAATGCATTTAAATTCGGATTCTTAAACGATTTTGAGGCTTGCTTTTAACTGCATTTTCACTGTCTGGTTGACAATATCTGGCTGACTTCTTATTGTGAAGGCGACTTTCAAGTCTATTTTGTACTGTAAAACTCAATTTTAAGCCTTTACTGCCTTGAAAAAGTAAAATATTTACTTTCCAAATAATACTTTAACAGTTTACTATCGTATCACTTGTTCATTTACTCTGTATTGTAACGTTCTTACTGTAAAATGATTGTTTAAAGGCAATGAACCTACCGAATCGACGCAAAATCATGGCCAAACTGCAGCGAGGTTTGAGTCTTTTCAATTGTAAACTTTTTGGATTTGCAATTTTTATGTGATATTAAAACGTTTTTATATTATAAATTTGTTATGACAAAAAAGACTCTATAGTACAAAGTTTTGAAATATTTTAGGTCGATTTTGACCATAAAACGGTTAAAAACCTAAAATGATCACCTGATGGTCATGAATAATATAACAAAAAACCCCTGTTTTCAACAACTAAACCGATTTTAACTAATCCAATTTTTACAAAAAAAATATCCACAATTCTTTCAGTGAACACTATTGGCGAAATTTTGGACAGGAAGCGGTCGGTTGCGCGAATAATGTCACAAACCGCCGACGGGCTGAACCAAAGTTTCGAATTTAAAAAGTGCGCACCTGAAGATGTTGTTTACGACCTGTTCAAAGTGCCCGGCAAAGATGAAGCCTCAATTGGACGATTAGTGAGTGTTCTGAAGAGTCTCGGTTTGAGAGAGGATGACCCGCGGCTAATTCCTACCATGGAGAAGATAAAGGAGTACGATCACAACATGAATGATGATTTTGATGTGAAGAGGTATCGATTGCCACGGGATCAGTTCAAAGAGTAAGTGAAAATGATTGGATTTTTTTGAATTGCTCAAAACGTCGTTTTTTGTGGTTTTAGGGGTCGACTATTGTACTTCCGCAGCCTGCATGGCCTGTCGTGTTTCGGGCGCGAACTGCAGAGCTCATGCACTTTTCTCGAATAAAAATTACGAGAAAACTTTGTTTACAGTCAAAATAAGATTATTTTACAAGCTTAAAACATGAATTTTGTGTTTTCAGTTTAAAACATATTGTTTTACATTAAAATCAACCAAAATAATAGATAATTCTTCGTATTTTCAGCTGTATTCATCCGAGCATCTCACTGATCTCTCAAGCTTTGCGCAATGAGCTAATCGTACCATCATGGAAAGAATTTACTGACAAAATCACTGAGATCTTTGAGGACGTAAGTTTTAATTGGTTTTATTATTTTAGGTATCAAGTTGTTTTTTATTAAAATTATTATTATTACTAAAAACAGGGTTCTATTTATGCTTTTTATAAATAATATTGTTTAAATTATAGTGTCGAACTTGTGTGGAAGGAAATGTGGCTACTTATATTCCACAATTAGCTAGACAGGATCCCAATCGATGGGGTTTGTCGGTTTGCACGATTGATGGACAAAGGTTCTCGATCGGAGATGCCAAAACACCTTTCTGCTTTCAGTCAGTGTCCAAGGTAAGTTTTTGTTTGATTTTCTTGTAGTTTTAGACCTTAAATTTGATTAAAATGGCGTTAAAAAGGGAATAGAAGATTTTCAGCAGAGTTTGCATAAACTTCTTTTAAAAGCAGCGTTTACTGGTTAAAAACCAACTTTGTTTTAGGCTTTCAACTACGCAATAGTATCATCAGACTTAGGTTCAGATTATGTTCATCAATTTGTTGGCCACGAACCTTCTGGCCGCTTGTTCAACGAAATTTGTCTGGACGCCAATGGAAAGCCGCATAACCCAATGATTAATGCCGGTGCCATAGTTGTGACATCATTATTGAAAAACGGTATATGTATGGCCGACAGATATGACTTTGCTTTCAATGAATACAAAAAATTGGCTGGTGGCGACTATATCGGGTTCAATAATGCGACATTCCTTTCCGAACGCGAGACAGCATGTCGTAACTTTGCTTTATCATTCTTCATGATGGAAAACAAATGTTTTCCACCTGGTATCCAACAATTGAGAGAGGAATTGGACCTGTATTTTCAGCTATGTTCACTAGAAACACATTGCGAGTCGGCCGCGGTTATGGCCGCCACTTTGGCTAATGGTGGTGTATGTCCAACGACAGGTGATGTGTGCATTGACTCAAGACCATGCCGGGACGTGTTATCACTAATGTATTCTTGTGGAATGTACGATTATTCAGGACAATTTGCTTTTCATGTTGGATTACCTGCCAAATCAGGAGTGTCGGGTAATATGATCATTGTCATACCTAATCTTATGGGTATTTGTGTCTGGTCACCACCATTGGATAAGTTGGGAAATAGCTGTAGAGGTGTGAAATTCTGCCAAAAGTTAATCGAAGCTTTTAATTTCCATAATTATGACTCTTTGTTACATGCGGATTCACAGAAGATTGATCCGAGAAGAGCGATGGGATCAAGGGAGACTGATCTTGTGGTTAGTCTGCTGTTTGCGTGCAAAAATGGAGACTTTGAAACCGTTAGGAGGTAAGGACATGGGCTTTTTACAGTAGATAAATACGAATTTTAAAAAAATCAGTTTTGTCTACAGGCAAAACATGGCTAATATTGGGTAAAATCGTTTAAAACTATCATTTTACGTTGTTTTAGGCTCTACATCCAAGGGGAAAACCTGAACGTAGTGGATTACGACGGAAGAACAGCTTTACACTTGGCCGCATGTGAAGGGCATGCCAATATTGTAAAATTCCTTCTTCAAACATGCAATGTTGATCATTCTATTCAAGATAGATGGGGACGAACAGCGTTGGACGATGCTCGACTTTTCCATCATCATGCGTGCACATCACTGCTGCTACGTGCTGGAAAGCCGAACCATCATGGTGGAAGTAAAAGCAAGAACAAGGCTGTCAGCGATGCGGCTATGGCGTAAGTTTTTCTTTTGTCTTAGGGTGTGTTTTTGATTTTTTGGGAAAATTTTGATAATTTTTCAAGTTTTTTCGATTTAACAAAGGTAATAACTTTGTTTACAATAATTGAATGTTTATGTAATGTTTTGCTAATACTAAAATAGACTGTATATTGTGATTTTATAGCGTAATTGCTATTGATTTAGCGCGACAGAAATTGCCAGCAGCACCAGCGAGGAAGAGCCACAGGGTTGTGGTGTCATGATGCTGGGTAGTGGCGAAGAGGAGTGTGAAGAGGTCCACAAGCCTAGCTTTCATCTACCTTCATTAACATCGTCGGTTGAAGATGGTAAGTTGTGGATTATTTGAGAAAGACGGGAGGAAATTGATGTTCTTCATGTTGTAGTAGGTGTAGGTGGGGGAAAAGGATTATTTGTTGTATTTTTGGATTCATATGGGCAATTTTTTTTTGTTTAGGTAGTTAATTTTTTATAGGTATTTTAAGTGCCTTTTAGAAGTTTTATATGAAGGTACCACTTTAGTTCACACCATACCAAACGGCCTTATCCCCAACGGTAGTGCAATAGAAGAACTGATGAAGAACACTCATATTAATGGTACAACAAACGGTGTAGCTACTCCAGTAGCGAATGGTACAAGCTCCACAACTACTACGTTACGTGAACAGTCTCCAAGTCACGTTCAGTTTCAGAACAATCCAAATGCATGATCAGGTTTTGACACTTTGGTTGATCGGAAAAGAATGGCGTGTTTGAAATGTTTTGTGCTATTCTTTGTTCATATCAACTTTGTCAAGGTTCATAATTGATTGTCTGATAAATTTCAACTGATTAGTTCTTCTCTGTCGGGTACTATAATTCTTATGTTGTAATAGGTGTCATTTTTTTTAGTATCATATTTATCTTGTATCTCGGTGTATGACCTTAAAATTTTATAGTATAGCATGTACTTGTTAAGTTAGTATGTAATAGTGCAATATATTTAACGATTTATGTCTCAAAGGGTCGAAATGTGCCATCAGAAGCTTTTTGTGATATTATAGTAGGTTTTGGGTCTTTCTAGCAAATATTTTGTTAATTTTAGGTATTTGGTTCATTATTTGTACCATTTTTGTAATGCGAAAGAACTACTTTATCCAGAGCTTTGTTTTGCTACTACTTTGTCTTTTGAACACGTTAATAGTATGTGTAGGGCCGTCAAAACACTCCCGGTTAAAAATATTACACTTACTGTGCCTTACGATTTCTATGCTGTCTTTGTTCACTTTTTACAATATTTTTATGTTCTCAAACTAGTTTTTGGATAAACGATTAAAATTTAACCAAAGCGGTATATATAAGCCTAAAATTGATGTGATAGGCGTAAAATGATCAAATAAGCCTAAAATGATTAAATAAGCTTAAAGTTTTAGCATATATTACAAATTTAAAGTTAAGCCAAATTTAAATTTAAGTCAAAGTAAACTTGAAAATTGAAATCAGACGCTCGGTTATATTAAAAGTCCAGACAAAAGGAAGAACATGTGACCGAAAGTTCTCCTCCTCTCATTACGGACAAAATGAGGAAACCACACTATTTTCGGCCGCTCATATTGTTTGCTGTTTCAATATCACTGTTTTTAAGTCAACTTTGTTTATACAGGACCTTTTTAGTTTTGACGAACCTTTTTAAAAAAATTTTGAAAAAATCACATTAAGCTCTATATTATACTTGAAGGTGGGGTATTTCATTCAAAATTGCGAGGAAACATATGTATTTTTCTTTGATAAGCATATATATTTTTGTAGACTATAATGCCAAAAGTGATATGCGATATAAAGCTTAGAATTCTACAATTGAGTTTTTGAGATACTTTGAAATTTGTGAACTACTATACTCAATATGTGGGCATTAGACATGGGGTACGGGTTGGGCCCATTTATCAGCGCGATCTAAATTTTCCTCAGGCCCAGGCCGATCTAAATTTGGAGTAAGACCGGCTTGCCCCGTTCTCGATACCTACTGGACATAGCTTATTTTCAAAATTCTATTCTAACCTTATTCTTAGAATTCGAACCTAATTTTCAGAACTCTGAACTATTAGAAATACCGAAGCAATTAAATTTGCATTTTAAATGACCAATGTCTAGTAAGATATTTACTTTCTAACACTTACTTTTTGGTTACTTTTGGAGAAGGAAAGTTTTTCGCAAAATATTCCACTTGATGTGCTCTTTTCATGTTTTGCTCTAGTTTCACAACACACAAAAAACGGCATTTCTCTGTTTACTACAGTGAAACGGGCTTCTTGTAGGTTTTGTTTATGCAAGCTTTTTGCGGAAACACTTAATTCTGGCGGGGGCTTTCAAAATTTCAATTTCTTTTATTTTTGGGATGAATGCTGCAGGGGATTTTATATTGTTTTAGGCTATGCATCCAGGGTGGTGAGGACCTAGTCCCATTATTTAAAAAAAAATTTTGGTAGGGGGTCTGCATTGTTTTTGACTATAACAAAAGATTATTTATAACAAATTCGGCAAAAAAAATTCTGGGCGGTGTAATTTTTTTGTGGGGTGGATAAAATTTTTTTTAACAATTCCAAAGTTTCAAACAATTCTCAAATCAATTAACCTCTTAGAAACAAGCTGAATCATTGTAGCAAAGGATGTGTAACGAAGAGAAAACTAAAGGTTTCACTATTTAACGTCACCTAAACCTCATTTCAACATTTTTTCGTTTTTGCGGATCAAAGTGTTTTCGCTTTCAAAACACAAAACATGCTCGGAATTAATAGAAAATAGAGGGGGGAGCGGGTGGCTAACTCTCTTTTTACTATTTTTCCCTGTTTTTTAGGCGATCAGGTACTTTTTAAGGGGGGGGAGGGGGGGAGGGGGGGGCCAGGGGTGGAAAAAGTGAGGGTAAACAATACGTTTTATGTCATAAAGGTGGCCTAAAAACGTATCGTGCACTTTTTGAAATGAAAACTATGTGGAAGATTTTCAGTGCAAATTACATTACAAATCTTTCACTCAATTGACACTTGATTTTTTAGTGTTATTTACAAAATTACACAACGTTTTGCCATTTTTTGTTTTTTAAAGAAAGTTCTTGCCATTTTTTGTTCCGTAAAGAAAGTTCTCGCCATTTTTTGTTTTGTAAAGGAAGTTCTCGCCATTTAATGTTTTGTAAAGAAAGTTCCTGCCATTTTATGTTTGGTAAAGAAAGCTTTTGTCATTTTTTTGTCGTATAAAGAAAGTTCTTGCCATTTTTTGTTATGTAAAGAAAGTTTTCATCATTTGTCGGGTTATCCCGCTTTTTTTGAAATTTTAGCGCCATCAATGACGTCACCTTCATGAAATAATCATGAACTTGGCCTGTGTTGTTCCGATTTAATCAAAAATACTGATAAGCTGTCTAACCTTGTTTAACTTCCCACTCAAAGTTTATTGAAAATGTTTGAAAATTGTGTTTTCTATACGTTTTCCACTGTCTATTCGAAGATAATTTTGATTATAAAAAGTGTATTTTATGTTTTAATTGGGTTTATTGTGAAGTAAGTTGTAATTTTTATTGAACTTTTTTTGAAAAATTTGTAATAACTTTCTTTACAAAAAACATTTATGATTAATATTTTTTTCTTTGTGGGCTACCTACCATATAGTATGGAAAGATTACTCTACTACATAGTATTGCAAGCCCAATTTTTAAAAATCTTTAAAAAGCTGGTTTGTTTTGTCCTGTAACGGCTTTAATGTATTCAAAAACTTGTTAAAAGTAGCAAAACAAGGCTGGAATTCAATTTTTGAAATAAGCGAAAAATGCTTTTGGAAATATTTTCGAACATCAACATGTTTTGTCACTTTCTGGTCTATATTAGGGTGGTTTATAAGGAATTGGCCGTTTTTTACAAAGATTTCTATTATAATATTAACATCGTCAGATTCTTTTTGACGCGGGACGTTTATCACAATTTTTTCTTGATTAATATGCAAATTTTAAACATTTTGTGATTGTGAGAGCATAATATACTTTATAAAAAGAAAATATTAGGTCCCGACATAAAGAACCCGCCATTTTTTACAGGAAATTACAGGACAAGTATGACGGGGTCTTTATGTCAACACCTAATACTACAATTTTTTCTTAGTTATTTTACAAACTTTAAAAATTTCCGATTGTGAGATGAAAGTAGAGTATATTGTACACCTTTTTTATCAAAAAAATTTTAAGTTACACTTTCAGAATGGGTCAAAATGGCTCTTCATTGCTGCAGACTCCGATAATTCACAATTGGATTATGGGTCGGGAGCCGGATGTAACATACGACGCAGAAAAGTCAACAAAATTTGGTGATATACGTGGAAAAAAGTTTCATTTTGATGGTTATGACGTTGAAGCATACCTTGGAGTACCATATGCACGGTGTGGGGTATTTAAAGATAGGTTTCAGGTAATATTTGGTTTGCAAATATTGATTTTTGAAAAAAATTTTTTTGCATTTTAATATTAAAAAAAATGTCAAAAATTAATCTCCAGAAGCCAGTAAGGATACCAAAATGGACAAACACAGCCGATTGTACCAAATTTGGGCCAAGATCAATACAACAAGATATGGTATGGGACTATTATTTGACGCCAGTACCTCAAAGTGAAGCCGACTGTTTAAATATGAATATTTTTGTACCTACAGATGAAATTCAGGAAAATAAAGCAGGTTTTTTGGGTTTTGCAACAAAATTACAGCTTTTTTTTATCATAACCTGATTAAATAAAACAATATTTTTAAATTATATTATAATATAAACTATCAACAAGAGCTTACGCTATCATTTCAGACCCCAAATGGCCGTCCAGTTATGGTATTTGTCCACGGCGGTGGATATTTGATCCATTCAGCCGCCAACTACGGTGATCGTCAAATTTGCCGAAATATGTGCAAACGCGGTGTTATAGTATGCGTAATTCAGTACCGTCTAGGCTTACTGGGCTTCCTAAGTACTGGTACTAAAGAATGTCCCGGAAATTTTGGTTTATTTGATCAGAAAATGGCGTTTGAATGGGTCAAGGATAATATCGGGGAGTTTGGTGGAAATCCAAATAATATCACGGCTGTCGGCCAAAGTGCTGGTGCTGCATCGATAGATTTGTTGAGTATTTCACCCAAATGTGAGGGGTTGATTCAGAAAGTGGTGCTGATGGGTGGGAACGCGGCTTCTGATTGGGCCGTCGTACCGTGGCAGAAGACGGTAGCAGCGGCCGAGGTTGTTGCTAGGAGGGGTGGATGGAAAGGTAGGTTTGATAGTTAAGTCTGTAGTTATTTTGGCCTTTAATTTATTTTATATTAAATCTTTGATTAAATATTCGCTATTTCAGGTGATTCCGGCGACCACTCCGACCTCCTGACCTATTTCCGCAACCAGCCGGCTGTCAAATGTCGTGGTGCCATATTCGGCAAATCTGCGTTTGATCGACGAAAAAAAGGTCTGGACTTTTGCCCAGTAATCGATGGTGATTTTTTGCCCGAATCAATTGATGAATTGAGGAAAAAAGCCAAACCTATACAAGTGATAATTGGCACAACCGACTATGAAGCCCTACTGTTTGTGGCGTTGGGCCGGGCGCAATCCGACATGATCTCATTGGAAAAACAGCTGGCTGTTCAGATCCCGGAAACGTTGCCAGAAGCAGAAGAATTGAGGGAAGAAGCCAGAGGGATTTACTTAAGGGATGTGGATTCTAGAAACAAGGTTGATGTGGCGAAGGCTTTTGTTAGGGTAAGTACTACTTTTAGTACTGTGTTAGCATACAAAGGCAAGGTGGGTCGGAGTAAGATAAGGTAAGGCAAAGAAGAGCAGGATATAAAAAACTACAGTATCATTAAGTAAATGTTTCTTTTATAGGCTTTAACTCAAAAGTTTTGCTGTTAAATGCCATTTTCAGATGTACAGTGACACATTAATGAACAATAGTACAATTCGATATGTAGAACACATGTCAAAAGCCGGACATACTGTATACCTATATAACTTGACCTATCATAACCCGGCTTCATTTGGAGTATTTGCCTTCAGGATGCCATTTGTAGCCCCAACACATTGCTACGATATACGGTATCTGTTTGGAAAAGGAATGTTCTCGAAGTTTAGGCCAGACTCGAACGATTTGAAGATGCTGGACTTGATGACAAAAATGTGGTCGAATTTTTCTAATAGTGGGTAAGGGTACACTTGTTCGGAGAAATGACTATACAATTTTTTGAAAGTTACTACATATAAAATTCTACAATAGTCCGAAATACGGTAACCGTCTAAACTTATTTAAATTTCCAGAAACCCAAACCTAGACCAAGAAAATGAAACCTGGCACAAAATCGATCCTCAAAACCCGTTCAAACATTTGGAATTGTGTTTGGAACCAGAAGAAAAGGACCATTATCAAGGTCGAAGAGCCGAATTTTGGAGAAAAGTCGAATTAAAGATTGAAGCTTTTGAAAAGAAACGGCAAGAACTTACTTTCCCACTCGACTAAACCTGCTCAATATTTATTGTTTGTACAGTTGTTGTTACCTCATCTTGTATATACAGTTATTTGAAAATAAAAAATTCGAAATATTTAATTTTTGAAATATATATTTCATGTATTAACGATTTCATATCACCTAAAGCCTAATCTTAATAAAACTAAGCCTACTAAAACTAACCTTGCAAAGCCTAAAATTAATATTAAGCTAACAAAACTTTTGCCTACTCAGCCCTAGACATGAGGAACGGGTCGGGTTTCTCGGGTCGGGTTGGGCCTTAATTTTCAGGCTCGGCCCGTTCCTCGAGTCTACTTAGGCCTAAGTAAACTAAGCCTGACCTTCTATCATCATACTATGCTAAGTCAACGAAGCTACTAATAAAACCTGTCCGATTTTCTTACACAACACGATTTTTTTGGCATTACCTAATACTATTATAAATATAATATAAGAACATAACCTTAGAGAAATTGCAAGAAGTGTTATTACGTAATTTATTGTTATGTAACATTTATGGGTTTATATAACATTTGCCTCGATGAAAAACGACCCAACAAATTACTGCGAGTACCGGCAATATTACGCCGTTTTTCTGCGGGGGCCGTTTCTTTCCTGTCATAATTTATTCGCCACCTTACTCGATTTTTTATATTTTGTAGAATTCTTTATTTAAATGGATTGCAAAGCTAAAACAATATACTATTCAATGTTATTCGTGTTATTCATAGTTGTAAAAGTCACTTTCATCGTGTGTGTTCACTCATAACAGTGACATGAACCGTCCAATTGACAAAGTCCAACTTTGGAGCCACATTTTGCTTGACATGCTTCTTGATCGCCTTTAAAGATACAAATACATTATTAATAGTTATATAAGCCCGCAGCCCTAGCCTAGAGCCCTAGCCCACAGTCCTAGCTCAGAGCCCTGGCCTAGAGCATTCTTGCACCAGCCGGTCTATATGCAATACTTACACCAACTTTGACCATAAGTTGTACTTAAAAGAATGGCAATAACAATAAACAGCAGATAGAAAACATTCATTTTCAACTTGAAATGTTGAACCTGTAAAGAATAAGTGTATTATATGAAGATAAAAACCCAGTAAATTTTCATATTTATTTTAAAAAATCAAGGGAAAATTTTTAACTATGCATACACTTTACGTTACACACTATTTTTATAACAATGACAGTTTTACACGGTATAATCAATATATCTACCCTACCGTACCCTACCTTACCCTACCCTACCCTACCCTACCCTACCCTACCCTACCCTACCCTACCCTACCCTACCCTACCCTATTCTACCCGGCCCTACCCTACAGAATCTACTATTTCAAATAAAATGAAATCTTATACCAAAAACTATAATTTTTGTAGCGTCAATCTCGATAAAAATCAAGAATTTGTTTTTCATCCACTATTTCTATGCCATTTTTTATTTCAAACAGCTGGGAGATCAAGTAATTTTATATTATAATCTTGCACTTTTAATTTCTTAACTATTTTTGCGATATTTTTTTTTGTTTTTTCTATCAAATTGAAAAGAAAACGTTATTTTAGATGAACAAAAAGCCCAAAGTCTTTGAAAAAACGATTGGAAATCGCTTAATTTACACCAAAATCAACGGAGATGCTCTAGAAATTCCCAAAAGTGTCCCAAAGGAATGGTACAAGTTCCAGCCACCGAATTTACCAGTAATTAGACCTCACCAATGGCCAGAGGTATTATCAACTGATAAGGAAAAGGAGTGTCATTATATGTAAGTATTTGTGTTACATAAGATATAAGGTGATAGTATTTGTGTTTACAAGTGACAACATGGCCTGATTTTTTACAGACTGTAAATTACAGTAGCTAAACTTATCCAAAACTTTTTTTACGCAAGCCAAAAAGTAAAGTAAAAATTTTAGTGCGAAGTACCATGGAGAACCATCACCAATGGGGCCAAACATCTATGGCGGACTAATTTATGCCCAAGCATTGGCAGTAGCTCAAAAAGAAGTTGACGAGGAATTTTGGCCAACCAGCTTTCATGGCTTATATGTTGGACCATGTAAGTAATGCCAATATAGTGAAATTTTTTTTTTCAGTTTTTTAACATTCGACTTTCAGCTAATACTCAAAAACCTATGAACTATGTGGTGAAACGTCTTCGAGATGGAAAATCTTTCTCGGCACGGTATGTAGAAGGATTACAAGATGCTAAAGTGGTTTTTTCTGCGTTGGGAAACTTTTATAAAGTAAGTTTTGATAAGATATAAAAAAATAATTTATGCTCTCATTGACATGTAATATGGTATGCCAGAGTATGATAGGGTAGCGCGTGGTAGGGTGGATTGGATCTTTACAATATCGTGGAAAAGCTTTATAAAATCAAATTCTCGCGCGTATTTTACCTAAGCTACTAAAATTTTACAGCCATACGACCCAAGTATGATTCATACAACTAAAATGCCCGATGTACCAAAGCCAGAAGAGTGCCATGAAATGTACGCATTCATCAATGATTCACTAGAAAGACATGAAAATGGTCAAGAAGTATTGAAAGATAGAATCGTTCAACATTTACAAAGGCGGTATTTTGACAAGGAGACCAATACTGTTGAGGTAAATTTTAAAATATCTAAATCTTATAGTGTTTAAAATAACAACATTCTGTTTTAAATTTTGAATTTTAATTTTTTGTTCAATAAAAATATTATTTTAGTTCAGATTTGTCAACCCTCGGCGTTACTTCTTCCTAGATTCCTACAAAAACGTGCCAGTTCAGTACTGGTTCAGATCAAAATTGCCGTTAAATGACCCAAAGCTACCAAAGATTATTCACCAAATTGTGATCAGTTATGTGGCTGATCAATGTATGGCATCGGGGAATGTCGGACCACATTTAAGCCACGGCCACGATGCTGCAGCGGCTACAAGTTTGGACCACACAATTTGGTTCCACAATTTTGACTTTAGGGCTGATGAGTGGGTTCTTATTAGTGCTCAGAGTCCTAGTGCTGGTGAGTAATACTATATACGAAGATTAATCCTACCAAACCGTACCCTACATTAAGCAATCCTGCCCTTCATTAACTAACCGCTATTCCCCTATCCTATAACATTAAGCAATCATAGAATTCCTTATCCTACCCTTCATTAGCTCCCCGCTATTGCCCTAGCCTACTTTAATGTAACCTTTATCCTACACTACAGTACTCTAGTCTGCCCCATTATTCACCAAATATTATTTTAGACAGTGGTACAGCCTTTGGCCATTGCTCGATCTGGAGCCACGATGGAAAGTTCATTGCTTCCGGAGGTCAAGAAAGTATGGCCAGATTCAAAACCATGTCCAAATTGTAATATAACACAATTTTACTGTAAAATGAAAATATTAGACTTTATGTCTTTTGAATTTTGTAAATAAATTTTAAGTAGATATATTGACAAATGTCATGAACAAAATTTTGTAAATATAAAGCCATAGTAACACTGACAGCATTCATTAATGTCAGCCCAAATATCAACATAAAAATGTAAATCCACAGATCATCCATATTGCTAAACTCTATTTTCACATCACCCATACCACCGGACATAGTGTTTGTCATACTGTAAAAAGAAAAAACTGATTTTTTATCACAGTACGATACTATAAAACTATAGCAGTATACCAAAATACTTCTGTAACGTTACAAAATGAAAATTCCTCAAGTAAACTCACAAAAAGTAAAAAACGTCCAAAACCGGCAATATATCAGCAATATAATTATACATGAACATAGCCAAGATGTTCATCAAAGCTACACTATATATTAAATTACAAAAATGCACACGATCGGGCACTTCCTTGTTCTAAAATGACAAAATACAATACTACATCAGACAAAAATAAAATAATACAGTATACCTTTTTCCACCAAGTAACCTTCGGTTTAACGATACAGTAAAACTCAGTCAGTAACCGACCAATATTGCCCATAACAGCCGAAAAGATCACAATACCAAAAATCAATATAATACTAAATACGATCCGGCTTTGTAGACCACTAGGTGTAACAGTAGAAAAACCGGGTCTTAAGTAACTGTTAATTAACATTGCCAAGATTGCACTATTAGGTTTACTACGAAATTCAACGTCTATATTAGCCATTATCTCAATTGATATAAGGGTATACACCAAACAGGTCATTAAAAGCAGTATATGAGGTATTGAGCTTAAAATCATGAAAACACAGTACTGAAAGCAAGAAGTCTTCGCGCTTACATCATTTTCATCCTTATTTTGACCAATATCGTTCAAACTTTGTTGTGATAATACCATTGTGCCAAAGTGAACACTACGACAACTATGTGCACTTTTATTAGACGCTACAGATAACTTAGGTTTGATTATATTATTGAAATCTTTAATCGATTCTCGATGAGCCAATTGAGATACTGTAACACTATCAGAATTATGCTGTAAATTTCATGTTGTCCCATTTGACCATAACTTTCCCTATCCTATCATAACATACTCTACTCAATCCTGTCGTATCCTATCTTGTTATACCCTTCTCACTGTAGGCTTACCACTATTTTTAGCCAACTTCTTCTCCAATTTCACGCACAGTCCAATAATCAATTTCTCAGCTTTACTGTACTGTTTATCATGATAATAGGTCGAATTTTGGCTTTTAACACGATGCAAAAAGTCCTTCGCTTCACACACTAAATCCTGATAGCAGCAATCCATAGATAACTAGTTAAATTACCAAGAACAATTTTTTACGTTTAGAACAATTATTTTAAAGTATTAGTAGTTTAACAGTATATTTTACTGTAAAATGTGTATTTGAACGTGAGAAAGCTTTTATGATAAAATAAAATTAAATTCTATTGTTGTTTTTTCTTGTACAGTTCAAAAAAGAAAAGAATATTCAAACTGATGGCGGTAAGTTAAAAGACTCATAATTCATTTTACAAACCAAATTTTTAGCCAAAGGTATGCCGACCCTTCACACACCCATCCTCTCACGGAGCACCGTTACTGTCAACCTCATATTGATTTGCAAACACACAAACCTTTTTCAAGTTTAAAAACAATTTCATTTAAAACACCTTGACTAATGAAACCATCAAGTACAGTTGTCTAAAATTATCAAACCAACAATTTTAAACCAAAATAATAAACACTATACTTGTTACCTAAAATTGCCTGCCAACGAAACCCGCAGCCCGCAAGATCAAGAAAACCGCCAAAAGTTCAGCCTCAAACTTCATCGCAAAAGACGAACAAAATTCTCCAAAATTCTTTTCCAAATCGAACCAAGTATTCGCAACGTCCAATCCAGAGCTCAAAAGCCAAAAATAATTTCGGAAAAATTCAGTTATTATCTCCAACCTGCCAACGAAGTGCGCAGCCCGCAAGATCAAGAAAACGCCAAAAAGTCCGCTCGCTTCAAACTTGACCACAAAGGCCGAACAAAAATCTCCAAGATCCTTTTCCGAATCGAGCCAAATATTCGCAAAATCCAATCCAAACCTCAAAATCCAAAAATAAATTCGGAAAAATTCGAAGTGATTATCTCCAGCCTGCCAAAGAAGTCCGCAGCCCGCACTTCCAATAAAACCGCAAAAAAGTCCAATTCAAACTTCACTCGAAGAGGCGAATAAAATTCTTAAAAATCCTCTTCCAAATCGAGCCAAATATTCGCAAAATCCAATCCAAAGCTCAAAAGCCAAAAATATTTTGGAAAAATTCGACGTTATTATCTCCAGCCTGCCAAAGAAGTCCGCAGCCCGCACGACCAAGAAAACCGCCAAAAACCCCTTTCCGAATTTTCATTGCACGGTGCAATCGTTTTTTGGCTCTCCAAAATTGTCAAAAAATCTCTCTTTCAATTTTCCTCGAAAATCGCCAAAATCGGACGGATCTTGAAAGGCCTTTTCGCCCGAATATGGCCCGCACTGCGCAATCAATCGGAGAGAGAGAGAGCGCGATTTGAGGAGCCGAGAAAGAGAAAAGCAGGAAGCTCAAAAATAGATTGCGCAACCGCGGGGAAGGAGAGAGACCGGACTTGCGACAGTGAGAGAGCAATGCGACATAAGAGAGCAGTTAGAGAAGATCAGAGTAATCCGAAAATGGCCAAAACTTTGCGATTTTGAGATCTCCAAATTTGTCGAAAATCCTTCGATCTTCGGAAAGGAATTTTCCGCCACCAAAAAAGGTCTTGCACGGTGCAACGAAACTTTAAAAGGTTTCTTTCGGCGGGTTTTTGGGTCTGCGGCCTGCGACATTGTGGCGCAACTGATACATTCGCACCGTGCAAGCCGAAATTTTGCTCCAATTTTTGAGGAATTTGAAGGAAATCGAAAGGGAAGAAAATTGACCAATTTGGTGAAACGAAAAACGATTGCACCGTGCAGTGAAATTTTGGAAAGAGACTTTTGGCGGTTTTTTTGATCGTGCGGGCTGCGGACTTCTTTAGCAGGCTAGGGATAATAACTTTGGAATTTTTATAAAAAATTTTTGGCTTTCGAGCTCTGGATTGGATTTTGCTAATATTTGGCTCGATTTGGAAAAGGATTTTGGAGTCCTTCGCGATGAACTTTGAAGTGGACCTTTTGGCGGTTTTCTTGATCTTGCGGGCTGCGGACTTCGTTGGCAGACTGGAAATAATAACTGGAATTTTTATATAAATTTTTGGCTTTTGAGTTTTGGACTCGATTTTGCGGATATTTGGTCCAATCAAAAAGGATTTTGAAAAATTTTGTTCGAAAGGTGCAGTAATTTTCGAAAAGGATCTTTTGGCGGTTTCTGAATTATGCGGCCTGTACGTGCTGTTGGCAGACTAAGGATGGTAAGTCTTGGATTCTTTTCGAAAAATATTTTGTTCTTGATCTTTGGATCAAAGCAAACTATAATATTTTGAACAATCGGAAATGGTTTTGTGCGAAAGACTTGTTACTTGATTTTTTGCAATGAATTCTTGTGTCCTGAAAAATTTTAGGTAATACAGTAAATAACTTTTTATTACGTTCGGCTTTAAATTTTTCGGTCTTGTGAATTTTAGGTAACAAATATAATCTACATGATCTTAATTCTAAAATTTTTAGGTTTTTCCGCATTTAGGTAACATTTTTTTTGTTTTTTTTTAATTCAGACTCGATCTATTGTCATGTCAATGATAATATCGGGCCCAAGTTTTCATGACTTTGCCAATTAAACTATCCTAAACCTTCGTTGACCATGATTGATCTTTAATAGTGCTTCACTGAAAGTTTATTTAATAATGTGGTTTGCTGCTGCATTATTTGCGTTCGACCCAATAATTTGCGAAAAGACGGGGATTTTTTGGGCCGAATTTGTGGCGGCACTTTTGTTTTTCGGGCCCGGGATTAAGGATGGGCTCAAGGGCAAAGAAAAACTTGAAATTTTAAGACTTTTGACAAGTGACGGGGCCTTTTTTGATAAGATATTTTACGTTTGTGTGTAAAATAGCACATAATATGGGTAATTAGGTCTTGTAAAGAAAGTTTTTGCTATTTTGCCTTTTGTAAATAAAGTATTTGTTGTTTTTAGTAAGATTCTTGACATTTAAGTATCTGTAAAGAAATTTTTATTTCTTCCAAAAAAAAATTAAAACGCAATTTAAAATAGCAAATTATTTAAAAAATTAAAATTTTGTATCAAATATGGTGACACTTTTATGTTTAAAAGATGAACGATGTTATTCCCAGTGGTATTATTGTCATAAGGATGACATCGCTGCTATTTTTATGCGAATTATGAGCTTTTTTCTTTTTATGTCGCGGTTTTTGGACGTACTTTACTATGATCTATATTGTAATTTAAAAGAAAGCTTTTTGCCATTTCTTTTTCTGTATAGAATGTATTTGCTATTTTAACAAAAAATTAAATTTTTGAATTTACAGGCGGTATATGAAGTCAATATGGCCATATACAGTAATATCAGTAGGTTTGTTGATCGTTATCGATGCAAACGAAGATGCCAAACGTTTATACGATGACTTGATGGTAAATTACAATAAGCACAGAAGGCCTGCAAAAAGTCCTACAGAAGCGGTAACGATCTACTTGAAGCTACGTTTGTCACAAATTATCGATGTGGTAGGTACCTTTAGATAATAACGTAAAACATTTATTGGATTGTATGTATAGAAAATTTTTGCATTTTGTAAGTCTAAAAAGATAACTGAAGGTACTCTTGAAATATATGTGACCTAAAATCTATATTTTTAGCACGAGCTCGACCAAACTATGACATGTTCAGTATGGCTACGACAGGAATGGCACGACCACAAGCTTTCATGGGATCCACAAAACTATGGAGGTGTATCAGTGCTATATGTCCCATATGAAATGATCTGGGTACCTGACATAGTGTTATATCAAAGTGCAGACAGTAATTACAATATTACGATTAGTACGAAAGCCACGTTACATTATACTGGAAGAGTGATATGGGAGCCTCCTGCCATTTTCAAGTCGTTATGTCAGATTGACATTTTATGGTAAAAATTTGTTTTTTAATTTTGATTTTAGGATAAAATGGCGAACTGAAGATTTTTGACGAAATGTCATCGAGTTATTGGATTTTGATGCGAAGTATTATTCTTTTATTGATTTTTATTATTAAAAACTGGTTCTTTAGGTTTCCATTTGATGAACAAGAATGTCAATTAAAGTTTGGCTCATGGACGTATCCCGAAAATCTTCTAAAAGTCGAGCTATTGGACACCGACACAGAAGACGTCGAAGAAATCAACGAACGTGGCGTAAAAGAAAATGTCACTATGGTTGAGCATGGAATTGGTAATTTTTATAATTTTTTTGAAATATTTGGTTTTTAGACAGAAAGTTGTAACAATTATTAAATTTACAGATTTGAGTGACTATTACCCATCAGTCGAATGGGATATTATGTCCAGGAAGGCGAAACGAAGAGCCAAGATCTATCAAAGTTGTTGTCCTGATGCTGGTGCGTTTGTTGAAGTCAATGTGAGTAAAATATTAAATAAGATTATTAGTCAAGTTATTTTTGGTAGTGACATCACTAGGACACTTTGATAAGAAACAGTATAAATTTATGGTATTTTTTCAGTTCTACCTTCTCCTACGACGACAGCCACTGTTTTACACAGTAAACTTGGTATTCCCATGTGTTGGTATCTCGTTTCTTACCATTTTGGTGTTCTACCTACCAGCTGAATCTGGAGAAAAAGTGTCATTATGTATCAATATTTTGGTCGCACTTACTATGTTCTTCTTGTTGTTGGTAAGTATTTTTTTGAAATTTTATAAAACTATTGTTGTACTTTATCCTGTATAGAATGTTTTTGCTATTCATTATTTGCTAAACAGGTTCCTGCCATTTCAGATTGAAATCATCCCGGCTAACAGTATCACACTACCATTTGTCGGCAAATACCTTTTGTTTACTATGATAATGGTGACAATGAGTGTATTCGTAACGGTTGTTTGTAAGTTTCGACTGTTTTTTATATTGAAGTAATATATATTTTTTTATTTTTTATTCAAAACCATTTTTAGCGTTACAACTCCACTTCCGCAAGCCTACTACACATATCATGGGCGAAACAACCAAGAAGATCTTTTTGAGGTGGCTACCTCGAGTATTATTTATGAGAAGACCACTGAGCGAAAGTAATGAATCCCTGAGGCATGGGGATTCGAAAAAGTACAGCAAAGGTATAGTTTGCGTTTGACTGCGTGTAAAATAGTAGCAAGTTTTTTAAAACTATTAAAAAAACCAGCCATAAAATGAATTTTTTACTTTTAGGCGAAAAAATCGTGATAAATTACCACGAACACCGCGTATCTCGAGATTTGACAATACGTACCTCAGCCAGACATAGTTCAGCTGCCGCCAATCAGGAAATCCAAGACATTTACAATTCTCCACCAGTTTTGAAAAGCTTCGAAAATGTGTGTTTTATCGCTGAACTGTTGAAGAAAAAGGACCGGGATGATAAGGTGTGTTTTTGTAATATTTCAATGGGACACCCAAAAATTTTGCATCACCGTCTCATTTTAGGTCGATGAAGACTGGAAATACGTAGCAATGGTACTAGACAGGTTATTTTTAATAATTTTCTCAATCGTATGTTTCGTTGGAACTGGAGTTATTTTACTACAAGCTCCGACATTCTGGGACAAACGACAGCCAATCCCATTGGTCGTACGGGAAACAAACTACACTGCTACACCTGTGAATCATTTTACCATGTTTTTTTAAGAAAAATTTATTTTTTTTCAATTTTAATACAATTTGTAATTCTATTGTACATAAGATAAAACATTGTTATGATATTGTATTACATATTTATTATAATATTAATTTTTCAGTTGCTTCAAAACTCAAAAAGTTCGTTAATATTTAATTCAGATCAAAAATGAGTCAGTTTCTAGAACAATATACATAAAACCAGTCCATGAATTCAAATTTGTAGTTGTACCAAACGATTTTGTTCCCTCTCTATCGCTTTCCTTATATTAATCTTCTCCGCCACAATCTCCCGTTGAATTCGCATTTCTTCTTGGTATGACTCAACTTCCTGTTTGATCTGATCCAGTATTTTTTGTTTCGCAGCATTTTCAGCACTAAAACAAAGCAATTATTACTGTAAATTCATTAGTACAAGTACCACCATACAAAACTTAACGCTATTAAAAGTTCATTATCCAAATAGAAACAAAAATATTGTAAACAGTACCTCCTTTTCTCCAAATATTTCCCTTTTTCCAAAATTTGTCTGTTTAATTCAGCTTCTTCTTCGTCCATTCTTTTCATTTCTTCTGTATACCGGCCAATATCGTTGCTCAGCGCGGTCAAAGGTTCTTTCAAAGCCTCAGTGACATCAAAATGGAGGTGTTTCCCAAGAGTTTTTGGCAATTTCTCGTTAAAATTGAGATGCGTCTCTTTAGTCTTATTGGAAACCTGAGCAAGCTTCTGAAGTTCAGCAACACGATCTTCGTTACGCTTCTTCATTTCCTCGGCTTTCTTAAAGGTTTTCTCGGAAAACATGATCTAAAAAAATAGATGGATAAATCACAAATTTTGTGATACCTAAACTTTAAAAGAATCAATCAAATACTTACTTTTTAGGCTAAGGACGACGTAATTACACTAAAAACAAGTCTAGAAACGAACAAGTCTCGCAAAAACCAAGCCAATTTTTGGAAATCTTTCTTTTCAATAAAACGTAAAGCCATCTCGCGTTTGTTTTCGTGGCAGGACCACTTTCGCTTGCTAATGAAAAATATATTTTAGCGCCTGAATTCGCGCAGGTTCTGCCTTCAGGATTGGTATGTCAGATGCACCGTCTACATCGAAAGAAGCTCATCGTGACCTTGTGGACTTGTCGTTTTTGGTGTTAGCACGAAAAATTCAAGCAGAGGGCCTCATTGATGCTTCACATGTTTATCCGCCGTGAGTTTTTACTTTTGTGTTCATTGTTTAGGTTACTATGGTGTTGGAAGGTATAAAAACATATTGACTGTGCTGAGAGCAATAAAAATTTGTTTAGATTTAATAAGGAGCACGTTTAAAATATTTGTTATAGTAGGAAGAAAAATGGTCGAAAAATGTGAATTCAAGGAGATTTCTGAGAAAGTTTTTGTACATTGTTTTTAGAGATACAAATTGAGGTTTTAGAAAAAAATCAATTATTTGCTTGTACTCTAAAAATTTATTTTAAAAATATTCTAAAATGACATATATTTTGATATTGTCTTCTTTTTAAGTACTTTGCTTTTTTTAATTTTAGAAAGCCTGTATTTCCTCAGTTTGTTCGTCCTACCGCCGCGAATATACCCAAAAACAGTAGTCGACGGAATACAGAAAGGAACTTGGAACATCCAAGTACATCAGGCACTCCAAAGAGAAAAGTTGGGAGGCCAAGAAAGCTGTCTGAGGAAACTGATAATTTCGTCTCATCCTTACGGATAGTGCCTTTGGAGGAAAACAGGTACGTTTTTCTTAAAATTGTTTTGCTCTTAGAAGGCAATTGAGATTAACAAAAGTTACATTGCTAATTTTTACGTTATTTTAGAGATTCGGAAGAACGTTCTCCACCATCTTTTTCAATTAAAGGTAGACCAGGACGAACAAAATTAAAAGCAAAACGAAGTAGTAATGAAGGATTGTCTCCCACTAAGAGATTGGAATCAATTGAAGAATCTTTGAATTCTGTAGGTTAATTTATGTGTTTTTTTTCTCTGAATATTGTAGAATACTATTTTATTTTTTAAAAATATTTTACTTACTGTTTTTAGGAAGAAAAAAAGGTGATAGAACGAGTAAAGTCTTTAAAAGCCGCAAACCGTTGGTCATCGTCCAAGATTGAAAATCCTCCATATGAAGCAGAAAGGCTAAAAACTCATTGGGACTTTTTGTTAGAAGAAGTGAAATGGATGTACTTAGATTTTAAAAACGAACGACATGTTCGTCATCTTACTACGAAAAAGATCTCAACAGCAGTTCTCAAATATCATAAGGATCTCAGGAAGAATGTGTACGACGAAGATGATGAACGTGCCGTGAAAGAGCGGGAAAAAGAGGCTAAAAAGGTGTGCTCAAGTATTGCCAAAATGGTACGCGAGTTCTGGCAAAAGGCTGAAACCGTGGTCGATTTTGGACAAAAGGCAAGTTGTTTAGGTGTTATCATTTGCTTTTGTTGACACAAGAGGCTTAGAGCAAGTATAAATTTATACTTTTCAGGAAATGGACGAAGCAAAGAAACGAGAAGCTTTGGATAAACATTTGAACTTGTTAGTGGACGAAGCTGATCTTTTGTCAAAGAGTATTAACGTTGAATCTGATTATGAGACCGAAGCAGACGAGAATGATGCAGCTGCCGGCATGAATAAGCTAGCTGAATTAAAACAACTAAAAAGCGATGCTAACATACATTTGGACGATATATTGTCGCATTTGCCCGAAGGCTATCTGGAAACGTATTTAAACCGAAAAGAAGAGGCTAATATAAAGGATTGTAATGAAAAACTGGTTAGTAGTGGAAAAATTGATGACTTGGGTGATCTCGCAACTAAAATTCATGTGAAGAAGGTTAATGGTGATTTGCAAGTAAAGGAGAATGGAGATGTAGACAAGTTAAAAATAACTGACTTTGAACAAGAAAGGCGGAAGGAAAATGGTGATATGGATCAAGACAGGTTGAAAACTGGAGAGAAATCAAAGGAAAACGGAATAAATGAGAAAGGAGATTCACAAGACAACGTCAGTAAAGAAGGTTCAGATGAGAAAATGGATATTGAACAGTCAGGCATTGTTAAAGAAGCTGAGAAGTCGGAAAGTAATAGTCAAACTCCAGAAATTCCGATGGAAATTGATGAAATGGCCAAAAAGGACAGATCAGATGCGTTGGATCAAATTGCGGCCGAAGCAGAACAGTTCCAGCCGAAAGGGAATACGTTGGCTACAGCTGACGTAAGTATATAGTTTTAATTTTTTCTACGTTATGGTTTTGTAAAGGATGCTTTAAAAATTTTATATAAAGAAAGTTATGGACGTTTCATCGCTAGAAATATAAATTTATAATTTAGGTGACAATTCAACACCCAGTTCTAATTGATGGTCATCTACGTGAATATCAGCTTGTTGGTCTACAATGGCTCTTTTCCCTGTACGAAAAGAACCTGAACGGTATTCTGGCAGATGAAATGGGTCTAGGAAAAACCCTTCAAACAATATCGTTATTAGCCCATTTGGCAGCAGAACACTCTGTCTGGGGCCCTCACCTCATTGTTGTACCAACTTCAGTGATATTGAATTGGGAAATGGAATTCAAAAGATGGTGTCCGAGTATGAAGGTCCTCACGTACTTTGGGAATGCGAAAGAACGAGCCGAAAAACGTAAAGGATGGATGGCAAACAAGTCGTTTGATGTGTGTATAACGTCGTACAAATTGTATACACAAGATGTGAGATGTTTTAAGCGAAAGCAATGGCAATATTTGGTACTGGACGAGGCTCAACACATCAAAAACTTTGAAAGTCAACGATGGCAGAGTTTGATCAATTTGAGAACGAGACGAAGGTTATTGTTGACAGGAACCCCGCTACAGAATAACTTGCTGGAATTGTGGTCGTTGTTGCACTTTTTAATGCCTAGGGTGTTTACCTCGAGGGATGACTTTAAGGACTGGTTCAACAACCCAATAGCCGGCATGATTGAAGGCTCAGTGGATTATAACCAAAAGATTGTCCAACGTCTTCACAAAGTTTTAAGACCGTTCATCCTACGCCGTCTGAAGGCAGAAGTCGAAAAACAATTACCGGATAAAGTGGAAAAAGTCATAAAATGCCCATTGTCGAAACGTCAACGTTACTTATACAACGAGTTTATGAGCTTAAGGACGACCAAGGACAGCCTAGCTAGTGGTTCGATGGTATCGGTACTGAATATTGTGATGCAATTGAGAAAATGTTGTAATCATCCTAATTTGTTCGAACCAAGGGAAGTCGAAACACCATTATGTCCGGAAATCGACAGAATTAGGTATCCGAGAATGTGTATTATGAAGAATGAGGAGAAAATTGAAGATACTCAAAGAGAGTCAGATCTTGAATTAGGAGAAATGGATGATAATAAAGGTGGTAACGACGAAAAAACGGCCGGTAATGTACCAAACGCGGGTCTTACAACATCAAAGTCTTCTTTTACGACTTTAAACTTGCCTAACATCGTGTCAAAACTGGCTGATCCAACTCCAAAATACATGAAAATCACCGAAGACAAGAGCAACAAAAAAGTCGAGTTTTGCTCATCGTTACGACCGATAAAACGACCAGCCAAACTCAATATCTCCAGGTTGAAAGGACGGGTAAACAATCAAAATTTCGAGTTTGAAACATATCAATTCGCCAGAAAACGACATATCGAACAGTGCGAAGACAAATATCGACCATTTTTTAATCAAAGACTGATGGATTTTGTGAAAATAGATCAAGTTGAAGAGGAGGAAGGTATAAAGAAGGAGATTCTAACGGCATTGAGAGTAAATCAAGAGGAATATGCGAGGACGGTGGTTACAAAGTAAGTTTGAATAAAAATTTTATTAAAATTCATTTTAAGTTTTTAAATTGAGTTTTTGCTGTTTTTAATTTGTAAAAAAGGTTTTTTCAAAACAAATTGAAAAAATTTAGATTTCCAATGTACGTAATGGAAGTCTTGTGTCGCCCCCTTCATCCCGACGACCGTTTCTACGGCAAGCTGTACGATTACTACCAAAGGTACCAACATATTGCACAATATGAAGCCTTATCACATCAGCATTCAAAAAGAAGCCGTCTGGACGATGATGCTCTCATGAATCGCCTAATGAGATTCCCAGAAGCCAGGTTAATCGAATATGATTGTGGAAAACTTCAAACTTTGTCCAGAATGCTCCGTACTTTGTATGAAGAAGGTCACAGATGCCTGATTTTCACTCAAATGTCAAAAATGTTGGACATTCTACAGGCTTTCCTTGCTCATCATGGCTACGTCTACTTTAGACTAGATGGATCTACTCCAGTGGAAAAGAGACAAGCCCTAATGGAGAGGTTCAACAGTGATAACAAGGTGTTTTGCTTTATTTTGAGTACAAGGGCCGGAGGTGTGGGTATCAACTTGACCGGAGCTGATACTGTCATATTCTATGACTCGGACTGGAATCCTACGATGGATGCCCAAGCACAGGATAGATGTCACAGGGTATGGGAATGTTATTTTTTCTTTTTTGAGTTATTGCAAAATGAAAAATTTTGGTTCAAAGATATTTTTAGGGTTAGAAAGTGCAAATATATCTTTAAAATCATAATTTAGATTTGAAAGGCTCATATTAATGTACCGTTTTCTAGATTGGCCAAACAAAAAATGTCACAATCTATCGTCTCATCTCCTCAAACACAATCGAAGAAAATATTCTCAAAAAGGCGAGGGAAAAGCGACGTCTGGGAGAAATAACGATCGACGAAGGCGGCTTCACACCTCAATTTTTCAAAAAAGCCGACAACATTCGAGACCTCTTTTTCGACGATGAAACCCAACCAGAAGCCATAGAAGTCCCAATTGCACCAGTAACAGCGGTCGCATCGGAAGAAGAGCTCAAAATGGCAATGGAACGGGCAGAAGATCGACAAGATGTTATCGCAGCCAAGCGAGCAGAAGCCGAAGTTGTCGCAGAGGAAATTGAATTTGATGACAAGAGCAATTTCAATTACACGGATCAGTCGAACGACGAATTTATGCAGATTGTGAGAATGCTAAGACCCATTGAACAATATGCTGTGCAGTTCTTGTCAAAAGAGTATAGGCCAGAAGATTATAATGTGAGTTTGATGCTGTTACACTTATTTTTATACTATCAGGCTTTTAGGCTTATGTCGTTTTGACCATATAATTATGCTATTTTTCAGGCTCCCCTGCTAAACGGTGAACAACAAAAGGCCGAGCACTCAAACCCGATGATTTTGGAGAGTTTACCAAGGAAGAGAAAGGTCTACATCCCCAAGAAACCGGTGGGACCTTCTAGTATTCAAACTAGAAACAGGTAAGAAAAACATTAAACATAACGGTTATTTAAGTTTTTTGTTTGGCTTGGCATTTTTAGGCCTAAATTCCCACTTCAAAAACGGAAAATACGGTTTTTTGGCCAATTTTCATGTTTTTAGGCTATTACTTATTTCGGCTGTTTTTTGAGTCTAATACCAGAATTGTAAAATGATTTATAAAACATGTATAAATTGCTATTTCAGAAGGTCACGAACTGGTCGATAGGTCTCCGCACTAACCCAACACCTCATCTTCTATTTTGATTATAATCTAAACGGGTATTTCAGTAATAAATATATAAATCTTGATTGTACTTTATTGATTGTAAAAAAGGATGCTTAATAAAGTAAAAGACATACATTGATTTCGTACCGAGTAACGGCATTGAGCTTGTGTTTCAACTGAATGTTGTCGATCCCGCGAGCTTTTCTTATAGCGTGAGACTTGACCGATTTTTGAATTTTGCGTCGAATCTTTCTTTTGACTTTGAGGTTATTCTTCTTGATGTAAACTAACTTGAATACAGTTTCAAACAAATCAGGCTGCGTTATAAAAATGTTTATAAAACATTGTTGTGTCTTTTGAAGCATTGTTTATAACGGAATTTTAATTTTATTGTCGTGTTTTGCTTTAAATTGTTGTAGACATTTTGTTATATGAAATAAAATTGTTGTAGGTTAATGGTTTTCAATAAATGCAAGAAAACTGAACATGCAGACTTGTTTCCATATTACCTAAAGACCAGAGGGCTGGTAAAACAGCACATTACAAGTTTTGACTATTTTATTGGAACGGATATCAAGAAGATTGTCTCGGCCAATTCTACCTTGAAGTCAGATGCTTCTAGTGTGTTTTACTTAAAGTAAGATGTTTTTATAAGTTTTCTTTTGTTTTTAGAACTTTCAAAAGTTCAGATTTACATTATTTACATTTCTATGCGGTTTGATCAGAACTTTCTCTAAAAGAACAAATACCTAGAAATATTTTTTAAAACTATTATTAATGTTTTGTTTCAGATATCTAGATGTGTATGTTGGAGAACCATCGAGTGAAGAAGGCTTTGGAGTGGCTAATGGCCGTATCACTCCACATGAATGCCGTTTACGTGATTTAACCTACTCTGCTCCCATTTATGTTGATGTCGAATATACGAGAGGGAATCAAAAGGTCAGAAAGAACAACTTGATCATAGGGCGGATGCCTATTATGCTCAGATCTATGAGATGTATATTGAGCAAGTTGAATACGGATGAAGGATTTGCTGAACATGACGAATGTCCTCATGATCCCGGAGGTTACTTTGTGATCAGAGGTGCTGAGAAGGTTGTGCTGATGATGGAACAAGGTTGTAAAAACAGAATCATGGTGTCTAGGAACTCTAAAAAGGAGTAAGTTTATTTTTGTTATGGCTTTTAAGGTTTTAGGCTCATTAAATAAAGAAACATTGACGAATTTAAGAGGAATTGAGCACGAAAATAAAACGAAATATTTTTAGACTAGTATGTGAAGTCCTTTCATCAACAACAGAAAGAAAGTCAAAGACGAATGTGACGATAAAGAAGAAAAAGTACTACATGAAACACAATCAGTTAGCTGAAGAAATACCAGTGGTAGTTATATTCAAGGCTTTGGGTATTGAAAGTGACTACAACATCATGACATCGATAGGAGAAGAAGAAATTTATGTTTCGGCTGTAGGACCTTCGCTTTTGGAATGTAAAGAAATGGGAATCATTACACAGGACGATGCGTTGGAGTATATTAGTTCTAAAGTAGGTTTTGGACTTTATAAAAAAATGAAGGGAGGAGCAAGCAAAAAATATTTATAAAATCATATGTGACATAAAGAGTGAACTTCATCATAAAAATTGGATGCACTTTTTTGTAAAATACGTTTATCAAAATTTGTCGTTTTATCAAAGTTTTTTAGGTAAAAATTCGCCGAATCGGCCAAAACCCTCGCGCAGTGGGCGCAAAGGAACGGATGGCACATGGCCTTGACTTCTTGAGGAATTCTATGTTGTGTCACGTACCATCAACGACAGGCGTAATGAAAGCCAAAGCTGTATATCTAGGCTTGATGGTTAGAAGACTGATCGCTGCTGACTGTGGTCTAGTTCAACCGGATGATCGCGACTTTTATGGAAACAAAAGAATCGAGTTGGCTGGGTCTTTGCTGGGTTTGATGTTCGAAGATTTGTTTAAAAGGTTCAATCAGGAGTTGAGAAGAGTGGCGGATACTCATTTGTCGAAGGCTACAGCTACACCATTGGATATCATCAAACATATGAGACAGGTAAAGGGTTTGATTGGTTTTTTCGGATTTATAGTGGTTTTACTAAATAAATTAGGCTAAGAACACTTACTTGTGACAAACTATGTCATAAACATTTAAAAGTACATCTTATACGATCAAACATGTAAAGTTTTAAATTTTCAGGACATGATAACAAACGGCATCAACTCAGCGTTGGCCAGTGGAAACTGGTCGATTAAACGTTTTGGAATGGAACGACAAGGAGTGACACAAGCTCTATCAAGACTGTCATACATATCCATGCTGGGCATGATGACCAGAATTAACTCGAATTTTGAAAAAACGCGAAAAGTCAGCGGTCCGAGGTCAATCCAGTGCAGTCAATGGGGCACGGTCTGCGTATCCGACACTCCGGAAGGCGAATCCTGCGGATTGGTGAAGAATTTGGCATTGTTAAGTCATGTTACGGTAGATACGGAAGAAGAACCGATTAGAAGGCTGTTGTTCAACTGTGGTGTACAAGATGTGGTACCGTTGAAGTTTAGTCAGATTCATGATTTGTAAGTTTTTTGTAGGGTAAGAGGGAGGTGTTAGTGTTTTGAGATCGACGGAGTGAAATTTTGAAAATGTTATGTTAGAGTAGGTAAAAGTGGCATTTAAAAACATTTTTGTTTGTTAATTTTGCATTTTGAACTGCCACGTTAATATAAACTGTTTCAGAAAGAACTTCTTGGTCATGCTGAACGGTTGCTTAGTCGGTCTGATTCAAAATCCCTACACCGTGATTCAAACCGTTCGCCTAATGCGTCGTTGCGGCCACATTGATCCGTTTGTCAGTGCGTCTTTCAACGAATCCTCAAGGTCTGTACTAATTGCATCGGATGGAGGACGTCTATGCAGACCATATGTGATTGTCAGTGAGGATGGTAAGCCGATGTTGTCGATGGAGCACGTGGAAAAGGTGAAAACAGGAGAAATGACATTTGATGATTTGATTCTGAACGGAATTATCGAGTTTTTGGATGTTAATGAGCTGAACAATTGTGATGTTAGTGTCTATGAAAAGGATATTACTAAAGGAGTTACAACACACATGGAGGTAGGTATTTTAAGCTGGCGCATGACTGAAAAATGACATTTTTGTATTAAAGAACGTTGCAACGCGTTGCTGTTGTTGAAAAGTATTTTTTTTGTACTACAAATGTCTTTTTGTCATTAAAAATGACTTTGTACGAAAAAATGATATTTGTTTAATTTTTACAAATTTTAGATCGATCCGCAGTCGATTCTTGGAGTAGTGGCAGGTATCATACCTTACCCACATCACAATCAAAGTCCCAGAAACACGTATCAATGTGCTATGGGTAAACAAGCGATGGGTGCAATCGGTTATAATCAACACAAACGAATCGACACACTGTTATATCTACTGGTATATACCCAAAAACCTCTGGTAAAATCAAGAACGATCGAATTCTGTGGCTACGAACAGCTGCCAGCCGGTCACAATGCCATGGTAGCGGTAATGTCATTCTCTGGATATGATATTGAGGATGCGTTGGTGTTGAACAAAGCTTCATTGGACAGAGGATTTGGAAGGTGTATTGTGAATCGACAAGCCAAAACCACTGGTAAAAGGTACGCCAATCAAACTTACGATCTCTTCAAACCGCCGGATGTAAACGCTGCTAATGGTCGGCCAGTTCATCAACAAAGGAACATTGATCTAGACGGATTTGTGAAGCCAGGCTCACAATTGTGGCCGAAGGACTTTTTGGCTCACAAATTCGTGCCGACAGTACAGAACGAGTTTTCTACACAACAAACGCCTCAAAATGTGGAACATAAACCCCAACCAAGTGTGTATAAGGGAGCTATGCACGCTTCGGCCGATCAAGTTATGGTGTCGTACAATCAGGACGATGCTTATCTGATGAAGGTTTTGGTTACTCAAGTTCGGTAAGGAATTGTATTGATGCTTTTTTGGTTTTCAAGATAGTTTTTTGATGTTTTGTTACGAAATTGGCAGTTTTAAGGCTAACTCATGGAGTTTTTAAAAGAATGGACAGTTTTTAGCCTAAATTTTTTTATTTTATATTATAGTAGACTGTTTGAAACCTAAATTTTGTTTTTCAGACGTCCCGAACTCGGCGACAAGTTCAGCTCACGGCACGGTCAAAAAGGTGTTTGTGGCTACATTTGTCCACAAGAAAACATGCCATTCGACAGCAGTGGCATCTGCCCAGATCTGGTAATGAATCCTCACGGATATCCGTCTCGAATGACGGTGGGAAAGTTGATGGAACTCATTAGTGGTAAAAATGCCCTACAAACTGGTCGGTTCCATTACGGTACTGCTTTCGCTGGAGATCAAATGCCAAAAGTCACCGAAGAGCTGGCTAGCTATGGCTACAATTATTTGGGCAAAGACATGTTAACATCCGGCATCACTGGTCAACAAATACCCGCCTACATCTATTTCGGACCGATTTACTATCAGAAGCTAAAACATATGGTCATTGATAAGATGCACGCTAGGGCTAGGGGTCCAAGGTGAGTATTGAGAGAAGTTTATGGGCCATAGATCAGGTCTTACGAAGTAAAAAAGGTCTTTTGATTTTTTTCGATATTGAAGTAGATAAATATAGCTAGCCATTTTTTATCATAATTTTTCAGGACAAGCTTAACCCGCCAGCCGACAGAAGGTAGGGCTCGAGAAGGTGGTCTTCGACTGGGTGAAATGGAAAGAGATTGTCTTATAGCCTACGGCGCTTCAAATATCTTAATTGAACGTCTGATGGTATCTTCGGATCAGTTCAGTGTAGACGTCTGTAAACAATGCGGAATCATGGGCTATCTAAATTGGTGCCAAAAATGTCAAAGTAGTACCACTATGGCGAGAATTCAGATACCATATGCTTGCAAATTGCTATTCCAAGAACTTCAAGGCATGAATATCATACCAAGACTGATCACCAAGAGCATCATGGACAATCAGTGAGGTCTCGGTGATGAAGATCAGAACATTGAAGAAGAGAGATTTGATTAGTTGAATATTGAAGATGACATCAGTTTTATTGGTTATTGTTATTTTTTGTTGTTTCTTACTCATTTTTTGTTGTTTTTATGACTTTTCAAGAAAATGACTTGTTTTTCATTGTTGTTAATTTTATAGTTATTAAATAAATTGTTGCGTTTTTAAAACCAAGAAGGATATAATTTTCATTTTGTTGCTATCAACACTTATTTTGATATATCTTAGGAACGCAAACTAATTTTCGGCCAGGTTTTGAACTAATTTTAATGAATTCAGTGTGAAATTAGGTATAAAAATCTTTAGATGCCATCAGTTTTTCACCTTCAACGGGTCATATTTTTGAATGTTTTTAAAACCTTCGCCAACCGCTCGATATCACGACAAATAACACAATTTGTCGTCAAAAGTTCGAAGAAAAATTCGAATTTGAAAAAATTTATAGCTGGGAAAAGCTTAGCTTTAGCTGGATTGACAATAAGGTAAGTTTAAGAATTTTGAGGGCGCTTTAATATGTAAAAACTATTTTCAATACTTTAAAAATATCTTAAAGTTGTTAAAGCTTGTTGTTCAAGGTATGCAGAATGCCGTTCCAAATCAACATCCACGCTGCGAAGCGAATCAAGACGCTTACCGGCTCCAGAAGTCTCATGGAACGACTTATCTCGGCTTATTAAACCGTATCTCCATTGGCTTTTGACTGCTGTGGCGGTAAGGATTTAAATCGATGAAAACATTTTAGAGAATAAAGAATTGCAAAAACTTTCTTTACAAAACAAAAAATTGCAAAAATTTTCTTTACAAAACAAAACATTGCAAAAACTTTATTTACAAAACAAAAAATTGGATAAACTTTCCTCAAAATCAGTTTAGGCCGCCATACTTGTCGCCATCCTGAATGTCCGCATCCCACTACAGCTTGGCGACCTTGTGAACGCTATAAGTCACTTTCTCAACAACAAAAACCAAGAACAATTTGGGGAAATCAACCAAGCTGCCATAAACTTATTGACCTCATACGTCGGCCAAGCTCTCTTCACTTTTGGCTACATTTCATTTCTGTCGATTATGGGCGAGAAAATGGCTGCCGACTTGAGGATTCGACTGTTTCATCATCTTCTTCAAATGCCAATGTCGTTTTATGACAAGAGAAAGGTTTCCGATCTAAGTGAACGACTAAACTTTGATGTACAAGAGTTTAAAAGCTGTTTTAAACTTTGTGTATCACAGGGATTGAGGACAGCTACACAGGTGAGGCGTTTTGTATGATCAAACATTTCTGGGGACATTTTATACGATAAAAATTTTTCTGTTAACATTTTATACGATGAGAAGTGTAATAATAATATCTAAGAATAATATATCTAAAATAAATTTTTCAGATTGGTGGCTGCTTAGTATCACTATACTTAATATCACCTACACTAACAATGGCCACAGCTGGATTATTGCCAATTGTCATTTTGGTCGGCACGGCTTGGGGCTCAGCGTTAAGACATTTGAGTAACAAATCGCAGCAACAAACCTCAATGGCTAACGCGTTGGCCGATGAAGCCTTGTACAATATTCGAACTGTCAAAAGCTTTAACATGGAAGAATATGAAACTGAGTGGGTTTTTTGGAAAGGACATTGTTTACACAACGTGATCTAAAAAACAACCATAACATCATTTTCAGACTATACGAAGCCGAACTCCGCAAAGCCGAGCATCTGAATATTGCCCTAGGGCATGGAATTGGCGCTTTTCAAGCAGCTTCGAATATTTTCCTGAACGGAGTGGTACTAGGTGTACTATATGGTGGTACCAAACTAATGTTAACAACGTCGGACCTATCAGCTGGTGATTTGATGTCATTTTTGGTGGCAGCACAGACAATTCAAAAAAGTTTGACACAATTGTCAATTGTTTTTGGATCAGCCATCAAGGGCTTCCAAAGTTTAGGGCGCAGCTTGGAGGTAGGATTTTTTGTTTTATTTTATAGGCTTACGTACGTTTTTTAGGTTTAGGTCCGTCATTTAGATTTATGTTAGCTTAGGTAGGATTGCGCAATATTGTGTTTAGGCTTACGCACACATTTTTGGCTTATTTTATTTGCTTTAGGCTTACGTAACATTTCTTAGGTTTAAGCACACATTTTAGGCTTACGCAAAATTTCTTAGACTTACGCACACATTTTAGGCTTACGCAACCTTTCTTAGGCTTAGTTACGCATTTTAGGCTTACGTAACATTTCTTAGGCTTAGTTACACATTTTAGGTTTATAATGAATTTGATATTAGCATGTTTTAATGATTTTAATATCTAAATCAACTACTTTTGCTAATTTCTATTTATTTTAGTACCTAAAAGTGAATCCCGAACGATCGACCGGTCAAAAGCGAATCCCATTCCACTCACTATCAGGTGATGTTATTCTCAACGATGTCAGTTTTAGCTACGAAAGTCGGCCGGACGTGAAAGTTCTTAAAAACTTGAGTTTGCAAATTCCGCCAGCTCAAACAACTGCGCTATGTGGACCATCTGGGTCCGGCAAATCGACCATTACTGCTCTACTGCTGAACTTGTACAAACCTACGGAGGGTAATATCTTCTTGGATGGAAAGGATTACCGAGAGCTGAGCGATGAGTGGATTAGGAGCAGTGCTATTGGCATTATTAGTCAGGTAAGGAAAAAATACGAAGTTTAGGTAATAATTATTAAAAATTCCAGGAACCCACCCTCTTTTCCACGACAATCGAAGAAAACATCCGTTACGGCCGCCCATCGGCCACCATGGAAGAGATACGCGAAGCGGCTCGCCTCGCCAACGCTGACGATTTCATCAGCAACTTCCCAGATGGATATCAAACACGAGTCGGTGAACGTGGTGCACAATTAAGTGGTGGACAAAAACAACGAATTGCCATAGCCAGGGCTTTACTCAAAAACCCACCTATTTTGATATTGGATGAAGCTACAAGCGCATTGGACAACGAATCCGAAGCCTTGGTCCAGGATGCTTTATCAAAAGCCATGGCGAACAGAACAGTACTGGTTATAGCACATCGGTTGAGTACCATTCGAAATGCTGATAAGATTTGTGTTTTGAAGGATGGAAAACTGCTGGAGGTAAGAGTTGAAGTCGGAATTTGAAATGTACTTTAATGTAATGTACTTGCTTACTATTAGGTGCCGACATAAAGAACCCGCCATTTTTTACAGGAAATTACAGGCAAAGTATGGCGGGTTCTTTATGTCGGCACCTAATAGCACACTACATTAAATATACTTTTAAGCTATAATATGTTTTTTAGGAAGGCACACACTCCGAACTGATAAAACAACGTGGTGCTTACTATCGACTGGTCGAATCATCGAAAAACAAAAATGGAGTTGTTTGACAAATGCCAAACTGATACCATTGATAATGTTGATTTGGTAATGAACGATGAACTTTAGGAATAGTGATATGAAAAATATATTGTCGAGTTTTGTTATAATAAGCTATGATAATATTGTTATAGTAGAAAGTAGATGTTGTATATATAATAAATTTTTATATGAATTTGACTTGATTTTGCTTATAAAGCATCAGTTTTGTACTGCTTAGTATGGTCTTGACTTATGTTTGTGTATAAGATCATTGATATATACTTTCTGTGAGGCCAGCTAGTGGCGCCAAGCGATACCGATACCAGACCGTCTATTTGATTTTTGCTGTTTCCAATTAAAAATGCCTTAAATTTTAGATATGAACTTAACAGAAAAGGCAAAAGCAGCATTAAAATCAAAGGATTATCGAACGGCAGTAAACCAGTTCATCACAGCTCATCAAAATGGCATCAATATTCAAGATGAACTCGAGAGTATATGCGAAATTGTGGATGCAATTCTGGGAGACGAACTGCCATTTGAAAACCCATATTTTATTGATCAAGTTTTGTCACTTGTGGGACTTTTCAAACGAAATTTAGTTGTCAAAAGCTATTTGTATATGCTTTACATGAAAATTCGTACGTTTTTTGTAAAAATGTAGAAGTAGTTTTCTCGCAAAAGGCAAAAAACTAAGTTTTAATGTAATAGTTTGAAAATATTCTAATTAAATTTTATTTTGAAAGGTCTTAAAATGGCTTAAAAACACGTTTTTGATACTTTTTAGAAATGAAAGTTGAGTGGAAGATTTGTAATGCATTTTGCACTGAAAATCTTCCACCAAAATTCAACTTCTAAAAACTGTCAAAAATGCATTTTTAGGCCATTTTGAGTCATTTTAAAAATGGAAGTTAGGTGAAAGATTTTTAGTGAAAATTACATTACAAATCTTCCACACAACTTTCATCTTCAAAACAAGTCGATTTTAAAGGGCCTTTACTTTCAGACCGCAACATTCCGTCAATTTGCATGTTAATCGATATGAGAATGGCCAATTCAGCTGATTTTTTGATAAATGACTTGGAGAACCTTCGAACTTCATTTTTTGACCAGTGGCATTGGCGAATGATCAATGATGCCACTCGAAATGAGGCATTCAATCGAGGAATCGAATTGGTTTTGAAGGAAGTTGAGGTGGGTTTTTTATTAGATTGTCCGAATATGGATGAGCCATTCAATGCGCCCAACTTTGAAAATTTTGGCTCATTCATATTTGGACAACCTGATAAATGGTAGTAACATTGTTTTTAATACTGTAAGTTGAATTTTTTGAGAAATGATTTTAAAAAATTGTATTTTTAGAAAACACACGATTCTAATATGACAATAATGGACTTAGGCTGTGGCACTGGACTCCTGACAGTAATGCTGGGTAACAATATATCATTATGTAGCAAGATCTCAGAACCTCAATGTATATACGCGTTGGATTCGAATTACACTTGTTCTGTCGTGACGCAGAAGGTTATCGAAAAGAATGGCATTAGTGCTCAAGTTTTTAATATGAAATCGACTGATTTTGAAAGTATGCCAACTGGTCGATATTTGGATTTGATTATCAGTGAAACTTTGGATTGTGCCATTTTTGGTGAACATTTCTGTTCTTCGTTGCTTGATCTGCATGATAGGTTTGAGGTAACGATCATGGGTAATATGTAATGATCAAGTGTAATTTTGATACTATAACCTGTTACTGTGACATTTCTATCACAAAACATATCACTGTGACACTTTTTATTACACAAAATGCCATTTTATATATAATGTTGTATATATTTTGTTGCACCATGCACAAAAAAATCAATGTTGTACTACGTTTTTCAATTTCAGGGACCAGTACCATTCCGCGTAGTACCAAAAAGAGCCTCATTGTACGCCCAAGCTATATATTCACCAGAATTGGCCAAGGATTATTCCAAAAATCTTAAAAATGGCATATTAATGTCGAATCCAGTTGTATATATGCAAAACAACACGTACGCAGTAACATACGATTGCACATACATGGATAAGATCGACTACCAAGCGTTGTCACAGCCAGTTAACGCCATAAGCATCGACTTTGAAACGGTAGAGGAATTGAGAAAAGTGGTCGATAATGAAGTTAGAAAAAGCGTCAAGTTCAATGTCAAGGCTGGATTAAGGCCTACTGCTATTATGGCATGGTTTGAGTAAGTTGGGCGGGCACGCTTCAGCTTATTAGGTGCCGACATAAAGAACCAGCCATTTTTACAGGAAATTACAGGCAATGTATGGCGGGTTCTTTATGTCGGCACCTAATATAACTTGTCTTTTGAGACTTTTAATGAAAGTATAAGTTTTATGCAAGGAATGAAATAATTTTAGGCTTAAAATGGCTTAGTTTTTAATTTTTTAAACTTTTTTTAGTATAAAATTTAAAAAAAATCATTTTCCGACCTCATTTTAGATGTGAAACCTACCCAGGAGTCGAATTTTCGACGAAACCCGGCAATTCCAGTTGTTGGCCTCAAGCGGTTTTTACATTAATTTTTAGAGACGACCCGTTGGCCGAGGATACAGAACTAAACTTTATGTTCTATATTGAGAATGAACAATGTTTTTTCATTTCTCAGGAAACGATTGGATTTGATTGTGTTCAGAAAGGAGAATTTGAATTCAAACTCTTAAATTGTGAGAAGTTGATTAACTTCTTCCAAGAGTTTATCGATAAGTCGACAGACGTCGTATTGAATTATACTGGATTGATTTTGGAGCCAAAAGAAGTGAAGGAAAAGAGAAGCAAATTGGGTAAAGAGGAGGGAGCCGGAAAGATCAGGAATTGCTTGGAGAAAGTACAGTAAGTTAGCTAGTGAGATTAACCGTCTGAATTATTATGTGGCATAAAAAGCCCAGACTCACTCTTTGTAGGCTTAGGCTTAGTAGGCTTAGGCTTAGTAGGCTTAGGCTTAGTAGGCTTAGGCTTAGTAGGCTTAGGCTTAGTAGGCTTAGGCTTAGTAGGCTTAGGCTTAGTAGGCTTAGGCTTAGTAGGCTTAGGCTTAGTAGGCTTAGGCTTAGTAGGCTTAGGAGGCTTAGGCTTAGTAGGCTTAGACTTAGTAGGCTTAGGCTTAGTAGGTCTAGGATAAATGGGTCATTAACGTTTTATTCATTTATCTTAAACCTACGCTTACCAACTTTATTACTTAATATTAACTAATAAAACCGTAATTTTTAAAATTATTTGCGGCATTACCTAGTGTAATATATCAATATAGCCTTAGAGAAATTGCAAGAAATCGTATTGCGTAACATATTGTTGTGTAATTTTGTTGTTTTATATAATATTTGCCTCGATGTAAAACGACCCAACAAATTACTGCGAGTACGGCAATCTTACTCTATATTCTTGCTAGGTATTGTGCTTTATCTGTTGTTTTGTATAATTTTCGAATCTTTTCTTAAATGTTCAGGCCTAGGCCCAGTAGGCTTAGACTTAGTAGGCTTAGGTTTAATAGGCTTAAGCTTAGTAGGCTTAAGCTTAGTAGGCTTAAGTTTAGTAGGCTTAAGCTTAGAAGGCTTAGGCTTAGTAGGCTTTAGCTTAGTAGGTTTTGAATAAGCTTAGGTTTAGTAAGTTTAGGCTCAGGGTTACTAGGCTCTATTTTTTAACCTTACTTAAACTTTTTTAGTATTGAAGCCGAGCTCTCAGAAGCGTCTACTATCGCTGTTTTTCCATTCGATTCTCGCGGTACCTTTACCCCAGACGGCACCATCTTCTGCCAAGCTTCAAGTATGTTCAATAAACAGATATTTCCTTGCGCGATGCGAATACACGCTCAAATGTTTCGATCAGATGAACTGATGAATTGTGCTAAACTGGTACCGAAAGAGAAAAGAGGTCGAGTATACTGTAATGTGGACTTGGATACGATAGAATCGATGCATATACGGTATTTTGAAGAGGTTGACATCAACAAAATGGACATAACAATCTTGAGTGATGAGGTTGAGGCTATTAAAGTCGGCTTAAAGGTAATGATGATTTAACTAGGTGGTGGGTGTGTATAATGGGGTGGGCGTGTTCTTTAAGGGAATCTTAAAGTTTTTGCTTATTTCTGTGGTCTGTAAAGAAAGTTTTTGCGTTTTTTTCTTTTTTTTGAAATGGCTTGAAGCCTTGCCTTTTTTTTAGCCTTGAAGCAAAACTAATTTTAATTTTGTTTGCAAATCTTCGTTTTTGCTCGTTTAAAAATGGAAGTTGAGTGGAAGATTTGTAATGTATTTTACACTAAAAATCTTTCACTCAAATTCCATTTTTAAAGTATCTTAAAATTGCCTAAAAACATGTTTTTGACACTTTTTAGAAGTGGAAGTTGAGTGGAAGATTTTCTGTGTAAATTTCATTACAAATCTTCCACTTAACTTTCACTTTTAAATTTTGAAATTACTTGTTTAATTTTCAAATTTTCAGTTTGAAAAATTGCAAAACAGCACATCAACGACTACTTTGATCACGGCAGGTCCAGCTGATGGTATTTTATATTGGCACGAATTGGAAGGCCCATCAGGGCAAAAGTTCTCGTTCAAGCGGGATTACGGGATCGTGAAGGCATTTATTTTTGCGGAACGGCACGGTGTTGAAGGACAAAATGTCGTCTTGAATACTACTTTTCAAAATGGTCAATTTACTTTTGCGGTACCAACTTTTGACGAACCATCGGAATCCAGGTTTTATGCCACTTTTAGTGGTACTGTATTGTAAGGTAAGATGGTAGTGTAGGTGTTATAAAATGAAAAATACTGTAGGTAATATAAGATGGAAAGTAATGTAAGCTTTTGGTTATCTGATGGCACGACTTATAGTGAAAGGTACTGATTTGGATTGTTTTTTGTTTTGATTAGTACTGAACTTTGATTAATATAATGCTATAATATATCCTTTGCATAAGCTTAGGCTTAGTAGGCTTAGGCTTAGTAAGCTTCAACTTAGTAGGTTTAAACTTAGGCGGCTTAGGCTTAGTAGGCTTAGACTTAGTAGGCTTAGGCTTAGTAGGCTTAGACTTAGTAGGCTTAGGCTTAGTAGGCTTAGGCTTAGTAGGCTTAGGCTTACTTCAAAGTGACCTCTATGTAAAATAATATTTTATGGCCGGTTATTATCTTTATATCACTTAACTATGATTCGTATGTTGTCATATCTAATGATAAATAATCCACAGATAATTTTAAAAAATTTATTAAAAAGAGGACCCGCTATCGAGCCACTAAACTTCAAAATTCATCAAGTAGCAAGCCATCAAAGTCCAAAAATTCAAAACATTATTGATGAAGTATCAAGGCATCAATTCCCGTAGAATCCGTTGATCCACGAAGCACGTGTACGGTTCGTTGTATTCTGCTGCATATCGACAATTGAGACTATTCTGTGGTGTGCAATCCAATATGTCGTCGCGGCATTTCTGAAAAAAGAAATTTGTTGCAAAATTTAAATAAAATTTCAGCCAAAGTTGATAAAACTTGGAACTGGAATTTGAATGGAAGGTTTGCAATGTATTTTGCACTGAAAATCTTCCATTCAACTTCCATTTTCAAAATGTATTAAAATAGCCTAAAAATGAGTTTTTGAGCATTTTTGGGAGTGGAAGTTACATGGAAGATTTTCAGTGCAAAATACATTACAAATCTTTCACTCAACTTCCAGTCTTAAAACGTGTCAAAAACATGTTTTTAGGCCATTTCAAGACATTTTAAAAATGGAAGTTGAGTGGAAGATTTTCAATGGAAATTCCACTACAAATCTTCCACTCAACTTCCACATCTAAAAACCAACCATTTTATGCGGGTGCTCCTCCCACTCATTTTTTCTGGCACAATACGCACATTTAACTCGACCATACTGCACTTTACATTGCTGTTTCTTCATTTCACCCTGTTCGCGGAGCCAAGCCGCATCGTACATTTCGTAGGCCGAGAAGCCAATCACACTCAATGCTACAACAACCGCCACAGCCAACAGACCGTAGTTGATGCGCCGCAACAACAACATCTCCTCCGAGGTTTTTACGAACATTTTTTTGATGCCTGCGGCTGAAAAATAAAAAAATTTGTAAATTACACTGTAAATCATCCATCAAACGTCCAATTCCAATGTAAACTCACTTGTCTCAACCCATGTCTCCGTTGCCGGCTTCTTGTCTTCTGGAGCATCACGTCCCACACTCAAGTTTGTGTTCGGGACCTGCGGTGGGGCTTCGGGCCGATTCGGATCCGTGTCTCTAGCCGTCTTCTCTTGCAACGACTTGGCTTGACTTTGACTTTTGGCTGTAGTTGCATCAACTTCTCGGTTCTTTGACAGCAAAGAAGGGAACTTGAATTTGACCATTTTTTGAAAGAAAAACGACCGGTCAGAGAGTTTTTTGTTTGAAGTAATGCTTTTTTTCAAAAATCCACAGGGGGGGGGGCCACGTTAAACTTTTTAAAAATTTTTTTTTCTGAATTTCAAAATTAAAACTCGCGGTATGGTGAGAAAATTAGCAATACCACGGCCATTCTTGGCCAAATCGGCCATTCCTCTGTCAAATCGAGACAAATCCAAGAATTATTGACTAAATAGTTTTATTTGAATTTCACAAAAAAAAATAAATATTAAAATATGCAACTCTAGTTTTCAATCAGGAATTTGGCCACCGAGGTTTCGCATTCCTTTCGCAACGTTTGGTTGACCAAAATGTTTTCGACCGTCTGTTTGATTGGTCGGTCCAGGACTTTTTGTTGGTCCGAGTCAAATGCACTTTTACAGAAGCCCTGAAAATGAGAAAAATTAAAATTTGCGGAAAAATTTCATACCTAAACTAATTATGACATTTTTTAAAGATGAAAGTTACGTGGAAGAATTTTACTGTAATTTGCATTGAAAATCTTCCACAAAGCTCTCACTTCCAAAACTTTAAATTACCTTCTAACAACGTCATATTTAATCTTCCAACACAATATTTTAGCCATTCCTTACCTCGTATTGTTGTACAAAATCGCTGGAGGACTGTTGAGATCCGCTGAATTTGAGGCAATACTGGAACAGGCTCGAGTTGACCGACCCGAACTTGCTGATCAACAACTGATAGTGTTTTTGGAAGAACTGCCAGGCAAAGTCTTGGCCCATTGGGGAGCTAGCAGCGCCAACAAAGAGGGAGATCAAATCTTGGGGACGGATCTTGCCATTTATGATGCCATACTCAAAAACTTGTGACAACAACTCGGGTCCTTTGACTTGACCCATAGCCAGAATGGCATTTCGTTCGATTTCTGGGAAATCGCAGGTTTCAAAGACTTTTTGCAGTTTGGCCAGGCCTTCTTGACCGCCGTTTCGGGCCGCGACACCGTAGATCATCATTCTCAGGTCGGGATGTAGTTCCTTTTTGTCATCAACATGCTCGTTGAACTTTTGTAGGGCAGTGGCAATGGATTTCTCGTGGCCGGCCTTGCACAAGCGGCCGAGGATCAGGGAACGGAGCATCGAAGTTTGGGAATCTGAAAAATATAAACGGTAAAAATTAAACACTTTTAGTTTATTCTAAAAGGTGAAAACCAAAAAACCATTAAAAAAATACACCACTAGACCTGTTTCAAACCAATAGCATGTTAAAACCCCCAAAATTTACCTTCTCCATCCTTCTTCTCCCATCCCAATCGTTCTCCCACCGGCTCCAGGGCTCTCCTTACGTACTCGTTGAACTTTTCCTTCAAACTGGGGTCGCTAGCTCTTGCCAAAGCATTAGTGATCGTAGCTAGACCGTTGTCCAACGCTCCCCATACAATATATTCTTGTTCATTGATAGAAGCAGCGACCAGTGATAAAAATGCGACTGGTGTTGCTTTGCCGGCCTTAACTTGGGCAAACAGATCGTTTGTGATGCCAAATCTGTCCAGTACGTCCAGCTTCTGATCCTTGATGGCTAGCAACAGTTTCTGGAGCATATCGTCCGAATATTGTACTTGATAGAAGCCGGCGGTGCTGGCGTTCAATTTGATCCAATCGCCGTCGCTTACGCCTTCTAGGACAAACTCATCTTGGGGTTTGGTTAAGAGGATCTTGTGGACGGTTTCGTTTGGTTTGCCTAGAATAATTGTCATTTTAGCAGGTTTTATGACCAAAAAATGAATTTCAAAATACTTTAAAATCAAAAAAATTTTTTAAACCAAATCATTAAATGTTAAAACATCACAATATAAGCCTTAAATCTCTAAGAACCTTATAAAACTTACTAGCAGTACAAATTCCAATTGGTACTTGCCAAACCGTGTCATCAGTGCTACCGTCGGCTAAGAACCGTTGTTGTTTTAGAATGATTTTACGTTTGTTATCTCCTAGCCTCTCTTCTGATACCTAAAAACAATCAATTCCAATCTCAAAATTCTTGCTTAATCATTATATTGAGTTAGTAACTCTCATCATTTTTAACCTCAAAAAGTTGTTTTTTAATTTCGCATACTCATTTTAGACCAAACTCAACAATTTTTTCAAAAAAAAATTTTTTTCGATTTTTCGTGTACAGGTACCACCTACCTGTGAATTTTTTTTTCGGATCGGCTCAGGGGGGGTGGATCCACCCCCCTCAACCCCCCCCTAGCGACGCCCCTGACCAAACTATAACAATTTCAACAAAAAAACCAAAAAAACTTCAAAAAATGTTTTACCCACCTGAACAATCGGGAATCCGACTTGTTTCGTCCACGATGACATCATTTTATTGACATCCTCACCCGACGCTTCTGACAAAGCCTTCCACAAGTCCAAAGTGACAGCATTGTTGTACTTAAACCTATCTAGGTACACCCTTAATCCGGCTCTGAATCGTTCTTCTCCCAAATAGGTATACAACATTCTGTTGATCGAGTTCGATTTGGCATAAGTGATGGAATCGTAGATCTCGTCCAGCTCGTTCGGATTGTCGATTTCAATCTCGATCGGGTGAGATGACTTCAGCGAGTCCAAATTGAAGCCGCTGGCAATTTCATCGTTCACGAAATGAAGCCAGATCTTGAATTCAGGCTTGTTGTTGGCTACGAATAGGTATTCCATGAAGGAGGCAAAGCCTTCTTTCAGCCAGAGGTCGGTCCACCATTTCTGAAAGCAAAACTATGGTTAGAAATCAACTTGTAAACAAAGTTTCTGCATAATTTGACCCCTTTAAAAATTTTCAGAAAGTGAAAGTTGAGTGGAAGATTTATAATGTATTTTACACTAAAAATCTTCCACCAAACATCCATTTTAAAATTTAAAACAACATTATTCCATTTGAAACCCCAAAACCTACCATAGTAACCAAGTTTCCGAACCAAAAGTGGGCCAGTTCGTGAGCAACGACCAAAGCGACTTGACTCTTTTGTCTGTGAGAAGAAATGGCATCATTGATCAACAAGCACACCTCTCTGTACGTGACCAATCCCCAGTTCTCCATGGCGCCCATTGAGAAGTCGGGAATAGCAATCAGATCACACTTTGGAATTGGGTATGGTTGAGCGAACCATTCGGTGTACCATTCTAGGGCGCGGCATGCCACTTCTAAAGCAAATCGACCTTGTTCCTTTTTGCCTGGTACTGTGTAGATACGTACTTGAGTGCCAGTCTTGGCTTTTTCCTAAAAAATTTGACCTCCAAACAAAAAAAAATTAAAATCCATCGCATAACATGTCCCTCACAGGCTGCGAAACCCAAAAATCGGATAAAAACCGCCAAAAAACTTACCTCAATGTACTCGAACTCTCCCACAGCAAAAGCAATCAAGTACGAAGACATAATTGGGGTCGTAGCGTATTTGTAGACCTTCTTTCCATCAACTTCAGATTCAGACGTGAATGGCATATTACTCAAGGCGACCAATTCCTTATCAACCGTCAATTCCACATCAAATGTGGCTTTGTATGTTGGTTCATCCCAGCATGGAAATGCTTTGCGAGCATAGGTCGACTCGAATTGAGTTGACACCATGTACTTGGTGTTTCCAGCGGCATCCTTGTACTTGGAACGGTAGAAACCTTGAAGGTGTTCACTATGTTCAGCAATGAATTCCAGAGTGAGTTCAATGTTTTGGGGTTGAACTTCAGATGGAAAGTCAATCTGAAGCCATCCCCACTTCTTGTCCAGCTTGATTGGTAAGTTTGTGAGAGCTGAAATGAATTATATTACTTTAGATGATTATCAAAATTTTGCACAATGCGTTTTTAAATCTTCCAACAACCAAAACGTCTTTAAAACCTTCTTCTAATACAAAAACTAGACCATTTCAACCTTTTATAGTATTGAAAATCCTTAAAAACACCTAAAAAGCAACCAAAACCAAAAACACTTACTCATACCGTCAGCCAGCTTCACCCTGGCGGACTTGACTTCAATATTGTCGGAATGCAATTGCAATTTGTTAGTAGCTTCGTTAATCGTTACATTTACAGTTTCTTCACCCTCACACTTGAAAGTTTCGAGATTTGGCTTCAAGTGGATCTTGTAGTGAGTTGGGTGAGCATAAGTCGGCAATTTCGAGAATGTATCGGCCATCTTCGACTTTTCACGTTGTTTTATTGCTGGTGCAGCAGTAGACAGAAAATATGCAGCTGAAAAGATATTTTATAAGGTTAATTTATCGTATAAAACGCGGATTTTCACGAAAAATATTACATTAAAGTTATAAGTGGCTAACACCATATATTTAATTAAAACAAAAAGATAAAGCATCTTACTAAATTAAAAAGCCTGTAAATAGTGAAGAAGACCCTACTTCATAGTTTACATGAAAAAATATGGCTAAATCTCTTCGTCTTCAATAGAATTTAGTATTTTCCCAAAAATACCACATCAAGTAAACCTAAAACAATATAACTTCCCACCTATCGATATAATCAACCCCATCTGACCAAAAAACCGACCAATTTACTCCGTAGACTTTTAAAAATGATGAAAAAGAAATTTGGCCAAAATAAATCCCGCAATTTGCGCCCACAGCGCTATCCGAAAACTGCAGACTGCGCTTTCGCCTTATCCGGCCAGAATTCGATTAAAAACGGCGCGCCGTTCCTTGTATTTTTTTTGTAAATATAAAAATAACGTTCCTTTGTTTATTATATCACCTGTATTTAGCTTGAACGGTATCAAGGAACGCCTGATAAGCCGATCATCTGATATTACACTTGACCTTCAAAATAATATTTTCCGCTGCAAAAACCACAACAAACCCGATAACAATCTTGGCTGTTCTATTGTATTCTTGCTCTCGAAATGGGTGTATTGTGATGTGGAAGTTGTTTTTACAAACTATAACTTTGCAAAAGCGAAAAATTTACGTTAAAAATAAGTCTGGTCAAGTGTAATATAAACCGTGATAAATCAAACCTTAATACAGTGAAATGAAACCCCAACTACTTTGAAATGACATCCAAACTGACCGTTGTGATGGGTGTGAGAAGCGGATAACAAATGACCTCGATTGTGAACAGGATAGTGGTATGACAAGGTTCGTTTCGATTGGCGTCCAATTTTCAGTAGTGAAAGGCGTGGCGACGCTAAAACAATGTTTTTTATACGAAACAAGTGGTTTTGGTAGTTGGGGATGTAGAATTAGTTTCTTTTAAAGCTTTTGATTGTTTTCTAAATGTGTTACATCTTAAAAAGACCAATTTTTAATTGTAAACCTTAAAACAAAAGCTTGACATCAGATGTCATGGATAATATTCGAAAAATAGGCCGTTTTGCGTAGTAAAATCTAATTAGGTGTCTGTTTCCTACTTTATGTTAAATAGCATATACTACAAAACGTATTTTACTATAGTCCCAACGAAAATCGTCTATAAAAATTAAAGTTACAGATCATCGTATTGCCTTAAGTTAGCAACCATATGTATTCGAATCGATTCAATTTGCATAAATTGAACCGTCTCAATTCGAATTTCACTTTCTCAAAGAGTCTTCCTTTTCGCTCGGCCGCCGCTCGGTCGCCTTCTGTAAATCGACGTCTCGATTCTTGACCGCCGATCGGTCTAATTCTATCTATTCTGTTTTTACGTACGCATAGCGTCGTATTTTTTATTTTACTATCTGTGGTTGAATAAACCTATCATTTTCGTAATTTAATTGTCTTATTTGATAATTGGAACGCGCGGTTGACAGAATCTAGAGTTTGGTATTGATAGTGTTTTGATCTAGAAGTTGTACGAACTCAATCTTTTACACCATACTGATCAACTGCCACATTTTTCGTTATAATAACCGCCATTTCTACTAAAAAGGAAAAGCATTTTAAAAACTACTAGTAAATACAATACTTTAGCTACATAAAATCAAAAAATCCGGATTCAAAACCCCCGGTATTAAGCATGAGACAATAAAACAACTACCACCCTAACACCCCCAATTTATATCCCGCGGCCAAAGCCATTAAAAACAATTGTTACAATACTAGTTTACAAAAACATTGCATCAGCAATAGTAATCAAGGTCATTTCTATCATCTTACACGAAAAGCATCAGGTTTTGACCACCTTAAGCCCGAATTACGTCAATATATAAAGGATGCTTATCAGTTCCGCCGATTAATGAATAATTTCGTCCAAACTTCAAATTTAAGGCCCAAGAAGGACAGTAGACCAACTCTGAACGTTCTTTATCTTGTTTATGATGAAATCGGTCAAAATTCCGAGAAATTTTGTTATTTTCAACGATCTTTGGTCCAAAAATATTGTTCTTAACATTGAATTTGATGTTGTTGTTATTGTGATCAATGAAACATTAAGCAAAAAGGTTCGAATTTCGTGGAAATAAACTTACATCTTCGGATCGTGATCAGAGCAGCACGGGAGAGCATTTTGACACTAGTTAAAGTTGGATATTCTACTGAAAATAAGATTTTTAGGTAAGTTAGGGAATAAAACAATATAATTTTTTTTAAATCTTTAAAACACACAAATTTATGGGTAATAATTATTAAATAAAGGTAAAGAAGTTATAATTAACACTTTCTCGTAATTTTTGGGCCAAAAAATAAAATTCAGAAACTCGTTCCCTTTGCATCGGAAAGCAGAACGAAGTGTCACAAAAGTTATCGGTTTGATAGATTTACATTTCCTAGATGAACCGGTCGAAATTTATGAATGTAAGTATAGAAAACGGATAATATAGGTAAAATACGGCGAAGTGACTTCAATATTTTATTTACATAATAATTTATTCAACAATAAATTTAACAAGGTTTCCATTCGAATTCTCGGATGGCGGTTATTGTATTCGTTCCATCTGGATTCGCCTTCATAAAGTAAATTTCTGCACTCATAGGCTTGAATTTTATTAATGTATACCTAAAATTTTCGAATTATCCATAAAAAATTTGATATATACCTAGACTTTCAATGTTATCCATCAAGTGTAATATAAATTTTATAATAAATTTTTAATAGCTCAAAAATTAAAAAAAAATTAACATACCTGTTTTTAGGGACACTCCCAACATAAAGAAAAGGCACAGTAACGCCGCCAATGCATCGTACTGATAAGGAATGGTTGTCGTGCACATGGGCGAAGAGAACGAATGCTCGCCGGATTATGTCTTCATTGTCTTTGTTGTTAAGCCTAAAGTTACTGATAACTAGATTTATGAAAAAGGAGATCTTTGCGATTTTTTTTTGTAAAATACGGGTATTGTCGATCTTTCATCGAAACGTTATGGCGATTTTTGCCTTGGAATCTAGTGTAATATAAAGAGATGTTGAGAAACTAAGCTATATCTTTAGCATTTTCTAAGATGTCTTTATGAGTTTATAGGAGGTAGAAAGGTATCAAGTTTTGTTTGTTATTACAAAGTTTTATGTTTTTACCATCAACCGAAAAAAAGTTATGCTCAATTATATTACTCCACTTATCATAATATTACCCATAACTTTTAGAAATCACACCTCTACGTCCCTAAAACCTCCTTACCATGCTTCCAATTCCACTTTTAGTCGATCCTTAGTGTCAGTAAGTTCATGATTATGCAAATTGATAAGCACAGGCCATGTTTTGTTTTGAATTCGATCCAGATCGTGTCGTAGCCATTGTAGAGACGCTCGAACCTTCCACAAATCCAAACTCCCAGCACTGGTCGCATAATCTGGTCGATTGTGGAGTTGAATCGAATGTACACATGAAGCTTTGTTTTGGGAGCATAAGTCCTTGGAATAAGCGAAACTTCCGTCGTATATTGTCTTCCATAACATGTTACTGCGCTCGAGGTCGATGGTTAAGTTCATTATTGGGGCGTATTCATTGGCGAACCTGAATTTTAATGGATTTTTATGAGGTAGGGTATTACATGGATCAGGACGCTGAAATAGGGTGAGGTAGGGTGTGGTAGAAATAGGGTAGAGTGAAATATTAGGTGCCGACATAAAGAACCCACTATTTTTTACAGGAAATTACAGGCAAAGTATGGCGGGTTCTTTATGTCGGCGCCTAATAGAGTACGTAACATACCATGACAACATGTTGTTAACGCACTGATTAGCGACACAATCATCAACATTATTCTGATAATCATGATTACCAAGGCCAGCATAGATAGGAAATGGCATAGTCAGCCATTCAGTCTTGAACAAGTTCAGCTGATGAGAATGGCCAAAGTTAGTGAGATCACCGTTGAGTATAAGGCCTGAGGGTTTCGGGGATAATCGTCGATTCAGATCAAATAAGGCCTTTCTTTGAACTTCGTTGGCAAATCGGCTTTCCATTATGGCACATTCGTCTTGGACGGTCTGGACTTGGATCGCGGCTAAGCCATTCGCGCTTTTACGGAGGCAGTTCTGAAAATGAAGTTGTAAAGAAAGTTTTTGTGGTTACACTATTTGAGCCCACTTTAAGCCTAGAATTGTGTAAATAAGCCTAACGTGCGTTACGTAAGCCTGAAAAAATTGTCTAAAATTTCTTACCTAAGCCTGAGGTAGTCAATATAAGCCTAAACTTGCATAACTAAGCCTAAAACGCATTATATAAGCCTAAAATTGCATACCTAAACCAAAGAAGTGTTACGTAAGACTATCGCAGCCAATATAAGCCTAAAATTACGTACCTAAGCCTAAAAGGCGTTACGTAAGCCTAAAACTGTGTACCTAAGCCTAAAAGGCGTTACGTAAGCCTAAAACTGTGTACCTAAGCCTAAAAGGCGTTACTTAAGCCTAAAATTGCGTACCTAAGCCTAAAAGGCGTTACGTAAGTCTACAATTGTGTGCTTAAGCCTGAAAGCCGTTACGTAAGCTTAAAATTGCGTACCTAAGCCTAAAACGCGTTACGTAAGCCTAAAGCAGATAATATAAGCCTAAACTGGTGTAACTAAGCCTGAAAGACGTTACGTAATCCTAAAGCAGATGATAGATATAAGCCTAAAATTGCGTACCTAAGTTTTAAAGGAGTTAAGTAAGCCTAAAGCAAAATACCATAAGCCTAAAATGGTGTAAAAAACATTACGTAAGCCTAAAAGCCGTTACGTAAGCCTAAAAGCCGTTACGTAAGCCTAAAACAGATAAAATAAGCGTAAAGTTGTGTACATAAGCCTAAAATGTGTGCCTAAGCCTAAAACACAATATAAGCTTAAAATTGTGTGCCTAAACCTAAACAGCGTTACGGAATCCTAAAGATTCTCTGCTATCTTACCATATTAAGGTCATTTTCCTTTCTGAACTCGGCACTATGAGCTTTGCACTCTTTGTTTGAAGAAGTGCACGGAAAGTGGTACTGAGTATCACCCATAAACAATAGTACGAGATCATCAACATCTTCCGCCATCAATTTACGAGCTTTTTCTTTCGGATTTATCGGCGCTAAAATGGCATTTATTTTTTTTGAAATTTTTAATTTAAAAATTAATTTTTGTTTAAAAAAAATTTTTTTTTGTAAAGTACGATTCTTTCAAACATAAGAAGGACTTACCAAGCTCACAAACAGCTGTATCAAAAATGACTTTGAAAACCAAGAAAAATGTGAAAATCCGACCAAATGCCATTTTTTAAGCCTTTTTAGGCTTATCAACCCTGAAAAGGAAAACAATTGAAAGAGGCTTGTTTTGGTGCAAAAGTAATGGCACATAAAAAAATTTTTTCGATATCCTTCCCTTTTTTTTGAAAAAAAAAGTTGATCATGATCCCCTCCCCCTCTTTTTGTTAGAAAATGATAATAATTTTTGATCTTCCCCTCTATTTTTTTTTAAATGGCCTGGGGCTCTTACTGACTCATAAAATTGAAAAAAAAGAAACGTGAGCGATTAAAGATGATTAAAGATAAGATCAGATAAATAAAGTTTAAAACTTTTAAAAAAACTTCCCCCACCCCCTTCTTTTACCTACCATACCCCTCCTCCTAACTTTCCCTATCAACCCCACCCCCCCCCCTTCATAATAAAGTAAAGACCCCAAAAACTACCCCAACCACCAAACTTAAATCCCCCCAAAAAACGGCCATAACCTTTAAATCTTTAAAGCTGGACCAAGTGGTGCCAGCGCGAAACAATCACCGCTCTTAATGACAGTCGGGTGGCCCGATCATATTGTTTTAATTAATGTCAGATGAGACGGAAAGAGGGATGGGAACGTAATTAAAGAGCAAGGTGATTAACCTTTTGGTGTGATAAAATTGCTAAAAGTGTCGCTGGTCTTAAATAAGCCTAAATTTAGGTAAATGTGTAATGAACTTTCTTTACAAAAAATAAGGGCAAAGATGTGATGATAAGCCTAAAATGAGAGTTTAAGCCTAACAAACTAGCTTAAACTTAAAAATTTGTTTTCAAGCCTGGATTACCATTCTAAACCTAAAAAATGTCTTTAAGGTTGACTAATATGATTATAATAAAAAAATAAAATTATAAGCCTAAGATATGCTTCTAGGCCTAAAAAGTTCATCTGAAGTTTTACAAAAGGACAATAAGCCTAAAACTCAGTTTTAAGAAAAAAGTTGCAAGTGATAAGCCTAAAAACACATTTTTAAGCTTAAAAATTAAGTTTTAGATCTAAAACCGTATCACAAGTTTTCAAGTTTAATCATAAGCCTAAAAATACGATCTTAAGCCTAAATTTAATTTTTAAGCCTAAAATCTTACTCTAAGCTTAAAAACATTATTCTAAGCCTATAAAACAATTATAAACACAACAACACTATAGTAAACCTAAAAGCACCATTCTAAGCCTAAAGAACAATCACAAGCCTAAAAACACCGCTATAAGCCTAAAAGACGACTACAAGCCTAAAAATACCTTTTTAAGATTAAAAATATATTTATAACTCTAAAAATACCTTTTTAAGATTAAAAACATATTTATAAGCCTAAAAATACCTTTATAAGCCTAAAACACCTTTATAAGCCTAAAAAACCGCTATAAGCCTAAAAGACGACTAGAAGCCTAAAAATACCTTTTTAAGATTAAAAATATATTTATAAGCCTAAAAATACCTTTTTAAGATTAAAAACATATTTATAAGCCTAAAAATACCTTTATAAGCCTAAAACACCTTTATAAGCCTAAAAAACCGCTATAAGCCTAAAAGACGACTATAAGCCTAAAAATACCTTTTTAAGATTAAAAATATATTTATAAGCCTAAAAATACCTTTTTAAGATTAAAAACATATTTATAAGCCTAAAAATACCTTTATAAGCCTAAGAGACGATTACAAGCCTAAAAATACTTTTTAAGGTTAAAAACACATTTATAAGCCTAAAACGCTATTCTTAACCTAAAAACATTATTGTAAGCCTAAAAACACTATTGTAAGCCTAATACACTATTATAAGCCTAAAAAACGCTTTTAAACCTAAAAAGAAGTTCCAGCCCAAAATTCATTTTTTTCATAAATTATCAAAAAAAGTGCTCAGATTTCAGCTTCTGAATCCCTCGGAATAACAAAAAGTAGCCACTTGGCGTGAGAATTGCGCAATGCCTGGGTAAGATGTTTGTTTTAGAACGCATGAAAAGCTGGAAACCCCTTCTGTTCGGCATTTTATTGTATTTTTGTTCGTTTTGAGTAACATTTCAATCGGAAAACTTGAAAAAATGTGCGTAAAGTCTGGCATGAACATCTATTATGTTATCATAAGTTTTTGTCAAAGATGTTCATAGATGATGTACTCATAAGTGTCCATGGCTGATGTTATCATAGATGTTCATATTCTGCACCATGCAGATTTTGAACTTCAAAATATATTTTCGGTACTAGTAGTACTATTCTAAAAATTTTTTTAAATTTTGGTACTTTTGGTACACAAAAAGACCATAAAATGCAATTTTTGAATGCTTAAGATCAAGTTTTTGAAAAACTTTTCACAGTTGGCACTAATGGTACTATTAGTACTAGTAAAAATGTCTCCGTGCAGACTTTTAAAACTTCAAAAAATTCAAAAAGAACTCAATTTGCATAGACAAGAACTCACAGACCAAAACAAGCAAAGTCATTTTAAACTTTTTGTACCCAAACAGGTTGTCGATTCGAATTGGTTTGCATCTTGTGTTTTGTTCGAAATGGGAGATCAATACGAAGCACTAGGGGATCTTGAAGCAGGTATGTGTTGAGAGTACCATTTTTAATGCACGGCACTACTAGTACTATAAACTAGCTTTGCACCTATTTAAAGTTTTTTGGGGTTTTATGTCAAAATGGAAAAGATTTTACGAGTTATGCCAAAAACGACAAAAATTTTGAAAAATGTTGACTTTAAAGCCAATTTTCACAGTCAATTGTACAGCCTTGCGTTCAGTAATGTAAAATAGTGTTGCCAGTACGATTTCGCTTCTCTGTACCAAATTTCATAAAATTCTATCAACAACAACCTTCATTTTTAGCCGCCGCAGCACCACCACCCCCACCTCCGCCGCCGCCGGAAGAAGACGAAGATAAGAAGTCGGCCGAACACACTGAACCACCCAAAAAACCAGAGCCAAAAAAGGCCGAGCCCAAAAAACCCGTGCCCAAAAAGCCGGCCGAGAAGCCCAAGGAAAAGCCGAAGAAACAAAAGGATGAATCCAAGGAAGAAACGGACGAGAAAACGGCCGATGATCAAGATGAAAAGCCGGCTGAAAATGAAAAAGAAAAGGAAAAAGCGAGTCAACAGACGGATCTGGCACATTCTCCCAACGGCTACGAGAATGTTGGATCAGTGGAAGACATTTCGATGATGCCGCCAAAGTCTGAGCTGAACGAGAAGCCTAAAAACAACAACGTGAGAGCAATATTCGACATTGTTTTAGCCGTTTTTGTCCTTGTGTTAGCTATTTTCGGCCATATTTCAGCCATCTTTTGCTACTTTTGGCCGCTTAAAACCTTTCCCAACATTGTTTCACTCATTCCCGACATTATTTTAGCCATCTTTTTTTCAATACTTTTTTTTACCTTATTTGAACAATTTTTGAGCGTTTTCATCTGTTATTGGAACATTTTTCAACCTAAAGCAATGAAAACCAAGAAAAAACTTACCATTTTTAGACCAAAATCTACAAGAAATTGTTTGCACGGTACACAAAATCAGCCAGATGCTTTATCGCCGCCATTCTGATCACTGGGATCTTCATAACCTTGTTCTCCTCGACCATCTTCTTCATCGACTGGTCAGAGCTCTTCGTGAGTGGAGAACCAAAAGAACTTTAGAATAAACATTTGAACTATTCGGATTTTAATTATTTTATCATTTTGACACCTATTGTTGCATTTTTTTTCAAAAATGAATGACATTGAGAAATTACGTGCGTCCCACAACGAAAACGAATATAACAAATTAACTGTTGGCATCCTGTTTCAGTTAAATTTTCTGTTAAATTTCTGGTTTTTTCTTATCATTTTTCTTTGTTTCTAACAAAATAAATTTATAAAATTAGTTTTTTTTTTCAATTTTATGAAATTATGAGTTCAAAACCATCAGCATCGACAGCGGGTTCGAATTGGGAAGCTTTGCAGAAGGTATGTTACCTTAGATTTTATATTGTTCTTGTTTTAGGAGCTGAAAAGAGAAAAGACGCATCACAAAGTACAATTCAAAACGATCAAGAAGGAAAAGAAGGTTACACACAAGGTGAATCGATTTAAGGCGGCTCATTCTGAAGCCATGAAGGCTTTAAAAGGGTTAGTTTTCGAGGAGCTTTGGGATGAATTGACATTTTAGCTTGTAATAGTGTCTTTTCTTTTTAAAATGTTTTGTCGTTGTTTGTGATAGAAAAGGGGATTATTACGGTTATGTAGGTATAAAATTTAATTTGTTTTGTGTTGATTTTAATGTGATTTTAACGAATTTTGTCCTGGGCTAGTTGTTATTATGGCTAACGTAATGTTTTTTGTCTTCATTGTTTTTAACATTAAATATTAACCTTATATCGTGATAGAGCAGGCTTTTTTAATACTTTAGTGTTCAATTTTTATCTTCAGAGGCGATTCGAAAGCAGTAACAGACGTTTTGGCGTTGGATTGTGAATATGTGGGAGTTGGTTATAATGGCAACGTAGATCAACTTGCTAGAGTGTCTATTGTGAATTCCGAAGGAAAAGTAGTTTACGACAAGTATGTTGCGCCCCGAGAAGAGGTTACCGACTACAGAACTCATGTTAGTGGCATTCGACCTGGTCATCTTGTTCTTGGTAAGTTGCTCATTAGTTTTTTTCTGTTTTTAGGTGTTATTTATTTTTGGATTGGTTGATGTTGCCAATATATATTTTATGGACATTCTAGATTGATTTGTTAAAGTTTTGTCAAGGTTTCTGGGCTAGAAATGAAGATATACCTCATTTTAGGTATGCCATTTAACCAAGTACAACAAGAAGTGAACAAATTGATAAGAAACAAGATTGTTGTTGGCCACGGGTTGGCGAATGACTTTCGAGTGATGAATCTATCTCATCCACAACGATTGACAAGAGATTCTGCTAATTGGAAGCCATTAAGGAAGATGATCGACTACACTGGAAAGCCTTCGTTAAAGTTTTTGGCTCAAAAGTTGTTGAACATCCGAATTCAAGAAGGTGAACACGACTCTATTATTGATGCTAAGGCTGCTTTGAGGTAAATATTTTAAGTAATTTGGTTTTATATTGTTTTTATATTAATATAGGATATTTTTGGCATGGATAATATAAATTTTATGTTTTAGGATATACCAACTTCACAAAAAACGATGGGACTCTGATATAAAAGGAGCTAAACGTTAGACAGAGAGGCAGTGAAAAGTAAAATGGAGATTTTACATCGGGAATTATAAAAAATTTGTTATTGTTATGAATTTTTTAATAAAGTTGTTATGATTTGGCTATATACTATTGAATATAAAAGTTTGACTCTTTAATTATTGAAACAAGTATAATTTCAACCAAGATTTGTCAACTTTGAGTGACAATTTTAGTCATAAATGTCAAATTTAAAGCCCGTGGCAATAAATGCCCATTACATTCGAGTTGGATATCAGGGACGCAGCACAGCCGTAGCACGTGTAGTAATTGTCAACGATGAGCAAAAGCTTCTACATGACATTTATATTCGGCCAGATGAAGGTTTATTCGAAATTCCATCGTTTGAAGACGAATACATCTTTAAAAAGGTTAAAAACGGTAAAAATTTGATGATTTTTTAAAATTTTTCGGAATTTTTGGGCTTTGAAAAGTGTTTTTGGGTAATAAATTTTGTTCATCGTGGACTTTACAACATTTTCAACAAAAAATTTTAGGTCTGAATCCATTACAAGCCGCAGAAATCATTGCCCAACACCTAAAACCCCATATTGTAGTAGGTCAAGACTTGGTGAACTTATTGGACGACCTCAAAGTAACTTCAATTTATGAAAATAGAATCCGTGATTTGAGGAAATATTCAAAAGTACAATTGTTATATCCAGGTGGAGCAATGTTGGACTCTAACGTGTCTATTCAACGAATGGCACATGAGATTTTGGGGGCGACGGTAGGTTGGACGGAAAATGAAATTTTTAAAAATTGATTAGGAAATTTGACAAAAATATTGATTTATCTTACAAAGAAGGTCTCAAAGTATATATTCGATTCAAAAGTTCCGGATTCTAAAGTCAATTTATCGACAAAAATGAATGTTTTAGTACCCAACCGGCTGTGACAAAGTAGTGGAAGATGCGATCAACATGATGAGGCTCTACAAGCTGGCAGCTCCGACGTGGGAAGCTGAAATTAAGTCACAATCTTCAATATTATCTACATGGCGTCCAGCGACAACACACCAAGCCCAGCAGGAATCAGAAGGCTTTAGTTGGGGCGCTTTGGCCGCAGGCGCAGCAGCTGCCGGCTTTACCATTTTAACCGCGAAGTACGCTTCGAATCAGCGAAGAAATAGAGAATAATCGATGTAAATATGATTGAAATGTCTTATTTTACAGTTACTAACTGTTTCTATCACTTATTTGTGTCTAAACTTTGATTTATAATGATTTGTGTAAAAGCCGGTATAAGATTAGTCATGGGTTATATGGAAATTTGTGATGATTCCAATGAATTATTTTTGTCTTTTGATGTGTTAGAAACAAGATGGTAGTCTTATAAATGCTATATGTAATTAAAAATGGCAACATATATTTAGAAAAATAGTTATGAGGTTTTACAAGAATGACATATTATTGATGCCGAGTGTAATATAATGTCTTATATTTTTTAAATTTGATACAGTATGGCAAAAGTTATCTTATGTAAGTATGTTGTATTTAATGTAGTTTGATGTGTAGTAATAAATTTTTATTTGGGGATATGGTTTTTGAGATAGGAGCAAAAGTTCTCGGACATGCTTGACTTCGAGCGTAAAAATGTTGTTTTTTGGGCAAAAATTGATGAAAAAATGCCATTTTTTAAGTGAACTGCTTAAAAAAATTTTGCAAACTGTATTTTGCAAGTTACTATTGTTTTTTCTGTTTATTATTAAAGTAAAATTTATACCAAAAAAGTTAAAATTAATATGTTATGGCTTAAATTTTCAGTCGAACTCATCCAAAGCTTTTATACGGGACTTTGTCCAGAAGGCCCGATCGGTAAACGACAGCTATCATCATCAAGTCTACAGCAGTAAATACATGAGTTGCGGATACAACGAGCATATTTGCACGTGGTTTTGAGCCGTTTATCGCATACATTGTGGCTTTTACATTTTGCCACACAGACATCATCGTTAACACAAAATGATCGGAAGATCCAGGCTGGATCTTGACGTTTGTTGCGATGTCTCATGACATTCTTTACTGGTTTGATACGGTTTGGGGAGATTGGTCTTCCTTCTGCTGTGCATGATGTATCTGAAGACAGTACTATGTAGTACAAGTTTATAACACAACTTTTGTTTTTTATAGTACTGAACGACTATTGTACTGTACTTATAATGACCATCGTACCCTACTTATAATGACCATCATACTGTAATTATAACGACCATCATACTGTACTTATAATGACTATCATACTGTACTTATAATGATCATCATACTGTACTCCTAATGACCATCATACTGTACTTATAATGACCACCATACTGTACTTATACTGACCATCATATTGTACTTATAATGACCACCATACTGTACTTTTAATGACCATCATATTGTACTTATGGTGCCTATCATACTGTACTTAATGAAAGTTACTTAAGTTACAATACCTCAAACTGGTCTTAATTACAGTACATAGAACTTACTGTATGTCAAACAAGGCTTAACAATAGCTTCTTACACCCCTTAATTTTGCTATACCTACAGTACCTTAGGATTTTAAAACTTTAATTAACAAAAATCTTACTGTAACGTTCAAGCTCTTTATCAGAAAGTAACTTTTCAGCATTTTTGCCATCTATTCTACTTTCAAGAGGTTCAACTAAACCTCCAGCATTAACCTGTTTTCTTCTGCCTTTCTCATAGCTTTGACAATTGACAATATGAACATACAGTAGGCTTACGAAAGTGGTAGTAAGCAAAAGCTTTGAAAACTGCAGGCCTTGTGGCCGCTTTAGTACAGTATTCATAGTAAGGTAGGGAGAACAGGAAATGGTAGTAAATTGGCTTTATTGTGACCTTCAATAAGGTTTTATAGTTGTTTATAGTATTATGTGTTCTCATGTTAACATATATGTAAATATTATACATCGGTAACGTGTAAATCACAACGAATACGTGTAGGAATAATATCTTACTATAATTTTGTGAATTTAGCTCAATATTTGATTTATACTGCTTTAATATGAGTAAAACTCAACCAATTTGAAATTTTTGTTTATTGATTTATATCTAAATTGTCATGTACATATATAAATTACTGTGTGGTAAATTTTACTACTTGGTATACTGTAGCCGTTTGTATATAGTCGTCGTGGTGAATTCCATGTCTCAATCCTAAAAGATGTGCATTATATAGTACAGTACTCTAAGATTTATACAATATATTAGGTCAAACTATAGCCCTAGCCTTAGGGTCAAGCCCAGCCCGACTTAAATTTGGGTCAAGCCCAGCCCGACTTAAATTTGGGTCAAGCCCGGCCCGCTTCTCATGCCTAGCCTTAGCCTTAGCCTTAGCCGTAGCCTTAGACGTAGCTTTAGGCCTGCCTAATCTTAGCCTAGACCTAAAAAATTGTCTACTCATTCGCCAAGTTCAAGAAGAGGCAACGGGCGATTGTAAATTTCCGTCGGAGATACGATTTACATACGCAAGAAAGCGTTTCACCATCAAAAAATATATTTTACATTAACAAAAGAACAAAGTTCGCTAAAAGCGTAGAAATAAACTTATTTGTGCAGGTTGGCTCTATAAAAGAGGTCCAGAAGTTGGACAAAACATATCACTTTCAACTTGACATTGATTACCCGTACGTCGTTTTTCATCAATGTAAGTTATTATATGTATATACATATATACAATTGTAGCCTTTATTTATTAAAAATAATGTTTTTAAATGTATCTTATACTGTAAAGAAAGTTCTCTCCATTTTTTGGGTTATAAAGAAAGTCCTTGCTATTTTTTGTTTTGTAAAGAAAGTTCTTGCCATTTTTTGTTTTGTAAAAAAAGTTCTTGCCATTTTCTACTTTGTAAAGAAAGTTCTTGCCGTTTTTTGTTTTGTAAAGAAAGTTCTTGCCATTTTTTGTAAAGAAAATTTTAGCCATTTCTGATTTGTAAAGAAAGTTCTTGCCGTTTTTTGTTTTGTAAAGAAAGTTCTTGCCATTTTTTGTTTGTGGCTCAACAGTTTCAATTTTTTCAATATTTCATGCTACAATTAAAAAATTTTTAGAAAAAATGGAATTCTTCGCTCTGCCAGCCTATGAAGAAGCTTTGGAATGCCCCGTTGTGGAAGTCGGCGGTCTTTTCGACCAGCCGCCGCCACTCTATTCAGAAGTAGACCCAACTATTGTAGAGCCGCCAGCTGAAGACGAAGAAGTGCCGGCATTTGAGCAGGTGACTGCACCAGACATGCAGTACAACCCGTACGATCATGAAGAGGGCTACGAGGCTTGGAACGATGAAAAGTTAAAAGAAATGGAAATAAGCGATGAAATGCGGGCCGAGTTTGACAAGATTGTGATAGAGAATAGAAGAGAAGAACTGGAATCTAGTTCTAGGCTAGACCAGCTTCAAGAAGCGGCTTTAAAGCTTACTTTTGGGTATCAATAGTCAAACGACATGTTGTACTACTAGGTACTAGAAAGTAGCTTCAAGCTTGTAAATACAATAGTTCTATAGGATAATACCATTTCTGATTGTAATTGTACAAATTTTGTTTTTTGTTTAAGAATTCGATTTAAAAAAACAATATTAGACGCTTGGAAGTTCATTTTTCTTGTTTTCATTTAAATTTTTTGTATCTAGGCTTAATATTAAGCAAAGTAGATTAGAACTTTGTAGACTTTGGCTTAAAAGGTTTAAGCTTAAGAAGCGCAAGCTTAGAAGAATTAGGCTATGTAGGCTTAGACTTAGCAGGCTTAGAATTATTGGGCTTAGGCCCATTAGGCTGAGGCTTATTAGGCTTAAGCTTAGTAGGCTTAGGATTAATGGAGTTTGTATACTTAGGTCTAGTAGGCTTAGGCTGAGTAGGATTAGTAGACTGAAACTTAGTAGGCTTAGCAGGCTTAAGCTTAGTAGGCTTAGGCTTAGTAGGCTTAGGCTTAGTAGGCTTAGGCTTAGTAGGCTTATACTTAATAGGCTTAGGCTTAGTAGGCTTAAGCTTAGTAGGCTTAAGCTTAGTAGGCTTAGGCTTAGTAGGCTTAGTCTTAGTAGGCGTAGGCTTAGACTTATTAGACTTAAGTTTCTTAGGCTTAACGATTCGCTTAGTAAGTTAACCTTAATAAACAACATAAAAAACAAATAATTATTAAAAAAAGGTAGAATTTAGTAAGTAGTAAAAAACTTACAGTTTGAATTTTCTTCACCTCAGTACCAGCACAAATGCAAATGAACAAAAAGCAAACACCTAATCTTTCACAGTAGTCCTGACATGTTTTGTCTTCTAAACAAGGGGTGACTGATGGTACTAATGTCAGAAGAAACATCATTATAATGTAGTATTTGAGCAGCATTTTCGGTACAAATCAGTATTTAGTAAAAGTACTATGAAGTGCTTAAATAAGTACTAAAGCAGTACTATTGGTACAAAAAATAAGTTAGTGGTAAAGAGTTACTCAAAATATTAGGAGTAAGCTTTGTGAATTGATTAATATGAAAATTAAGTTGATCAGAATTCAAAGTAATATCTTTTTTTGCTTTTTATGAAATATGATTCAGCTTGGGAATGAAGATACTAACACAGATATCAAACGTGAAGGTTAGTCCTTTATTGTTAGCCTTACATTTATAGATGCACGTTTTTATTGATAGTATGACAAAAAACTTAGTATTGGGTCTTTCACTTAATTCTGCTCCTTTTTAAGCAAAATTCTGGCGTTATGGAGCGCAGAATTAATTGAACTAACTAATACAAAGTGCGCCAAAAGTTCTGTTACAAGTATATGTACTTTCTATTGATAGTACGTAAGAACTAGCATTGTCTAATGTAAAACAAATATTACAGTGTTATATTAAAGTAGATACAGCATAGTAAGTCGATGTCAGCATTTACATCTCAAGTCAATACATTTGGCATACTTATGGCCACAGTAGTCAAAGCATTCACGATGGTTTTTACAGGTTTGTGAAGATGATATCATACCAAAAATTGTGAAAAGTAGCAGCAGTTGAAAGAGAACTTGTAATCGGACCTTCATTGGATTGATATGCCTGTAACAGTAAAAATATGTCACATACAATAAAAAATGGCACACCAGTGTAATTGCAAAAACTTTCTTTACAAACTAAACAAAAAAGTTCACGCTAAAAGGTAAACAAGGCTAAAGTGTAAGCTTTATTACAAACTAAATTTTTAGCTTTAGGCATAGCCAAAGCTCCAGCCAAGACCCTAGCCTTAGCCATAACTCTAACAAAAGCCCTAGCCGTAACTCTAGCCAAAATCTTAGCTATAGCTGAAGCTCTAGCCAAAACTTAGTTTTGACTATAACTCTAAGTTAATTCTAATCAACACTCTAGCCCCTACCTAAAACCTAGTCATAGCCCTAGCCACAATTCTAACCAAGATCTTAGCTCTGGCCAAAACTTTAGCCAAAGCTTAGCCCTGACTATAGCTCTAGCCTAGATTTAGTGAAAATTCTAGCCCCAGCTAAAAACCTAGTCAACGCCCTAGGTAGAGCTGCTAGCCAAGGTCCTAACTCTAGCCGAAACTTTAGCCAAAGCCCTAGCCCGAGCTCTGACTATAGATCCAGCCGAAAGTCTAGCCAAAATCCCAGCCTCAGCCCCAGCCCCAGCCACAGCCCCAGCCCCAGCCCCAGCCCCAGCCCCAGCCCCCAGCCCCAGCCCCAGCCCCCAGCCTCAGCCCCAGCCCCAGCCCCAGCCGAAACTCCAGCCAAAATCCCAGCCCCAGCTCCAGCCTAATTCTAGTCAAAGTCTTAACTTTACTTTTAAAAAACATTTATATAGTTGTTCAGTTGACTTCAAATAGTGAACCAAAGACAATTATTAATTAAAATAAAAAGATAAAAATTCATACGATTATCATTGACCTTAAGCATGCCTTAAGCCGGGTTTTTCCAAAACAAAAAAACGTGATAACAGTTTCAAGTTGCAAAACAATCTTTGTGACAAACAAAACATAACATTGATGTTTGTATAGTAAAGTTACAGCGGTAACGACAAAGTCACTTTGGCTACAAAAGTCTTTTTATAGTTCAGCAAATGTAGTATTGGTCACGTCAGTAGGTCAAAAAACATAATGTAATACACTTTTAAAACGAAATTATAGGTTAGGGTTAGTAAACATAAGTTAAGTTAGGGTTAGAAATACGGTTCTAGCTAGGGCTAGCGCAAACGTTAGGGCTTTGGCTACAGTTTAGATTAAGACTGGGGCCTTGTTTAGTGCTAGGCTAGGGATAACCGGGGCACGGTTGGTTCACAGGATTCGCAGGGTTCACCTTGGCTTGGAGCTAGGGATTTGAGCTAGGGATAGGGCTATGGGCTATATCTTGGAGCTTGGGCTAGGGCTCTAATCTAGGGCTCTGGACTAGGGCTCTGAACTAGGGCTATGGGCTAGGGCTCTGGACAAGGGCTTTGGGCTAGGGCTAGGGCTAGGGCTAGGGCTAGGGCTAGGGCTAGGGCTAGGGCTAGGGCTAGGGCTAGGGCTAGGGCTAGGGCTAGGGCTAGGGCTAGGGCTAGGGCTAGGGCTAGGGCTAGGGCTAGGGCTAGGGCTAGGGCTAGGGCTAGGGCTAGGGCTAAAAATATCTCGCTCTTATAACTTATGCTAATAGGCTTAACCATTCTCGCTGCAAAAAGATTGGCTCATAAATACCGACTCATGACCCAAAACAAATCCACCCCCATGTTGTTATTGACGCATTTTCCAATCTCGAAAAACCTCATTAACGCCGTTCCCAATTTCATGAATTTGGCTTGCAGGATTGCGAAACAAGACAAAGACCAAATATTAATTGAGGCAGTAGGTGATTATATCAAACAGAATGGTCGAAAGTCGTCTCGAATTGAATTTTAAAGAGGTGTTGGTATTAGTTAAAGAAGTTAACGATCAGTACATACTTGGACTAATTAGTCTGGAATTTCAAAAAAAATTGTAGTTATGGGGGGGGACGCAGCGGGGAGGAGAAGAAGGAGCGGGGACGAGGGGGGGGAGGTAAGGAAAAAAAATTTTGAAAAAAGTTGAACGTGGGCCCCCTGTAAATTAAAAAAAAATTTCACCCCCCCCCCCCCCTTTTAAATTTGAAATAGCTAGGGGATTATTACCAATATAATGATGTTTTGACAAAACATATTATAGATACAGTACAAAAACAGATTAAAAACAAAACTGTATAACCAATAGGTTATGTAAAGTAACAGGTTGTTTCTGACTTGATAATGTCATCATATTCAGAGATCAGAAGATGAGAAAAAATATAAAAATTAAAAGTAAATTATACCTCGTTTAACTATCTACAACACTAAAATCTTGCTAACTCCAACCCTACAATGCTTAATCAAACAAAAACTAAACTTAAAATTGCTCAACATGTTAATATATTAGGTGCCGACATAAAGAACCCGCCATTTTTTTCATGTATTTACAAGTATGGCAAGTTCTTTATGCCGGCACCTAATGTTTAAGTAATGAAATCATGATTTGATATAACAATATACCCTTAGAGAAATTGAAAAAACTCGTGTTACGTAATGTTGTCTTACGTAATATTACGGTTTTATGTAACATTTGCCTCTATATAAAACGACCCAACAAATTACTGCAAGCAAGGCAATCTCACTGTATTTTTCTGCGAGGCAGCGTTTTTTACCTGCATATCTTGTATGTATAAGTCTTCGCTATTCCATTTATAAATTTATTATAAAATTTATTTTCCCTACTGTGCGGTCTTAAGCCTAAATCTAAGCCTAAGCCTAAGCTTAAGTCTAATCCTAAGCCTAAGCCTAAGCCTAAGCCTAAGCCTAAGCCTAAGCCTAAGCCTAAGCCTAAGCCTAAGCCTAAGCCTAAGCCTAATCCTAAGCCTAAGCCTAATCTTAAGCCTAAGCCTAAGCCTAATCCTAAGCCTAAGCCTAATCTTAAGCCTAAGCCTAAACCTAACCTAAGTATACAAAGCTTAAGTTTTAAGTCTAGTCTAAACCTAAGATTAAGTTAATGTTTAAACCCATTAAGCCTAATCTTACTAAATATAAACATAATAAGCCTACTTCAACTAAGCCTAAGCCTCCAATGCCTAAGTCTCTGAAACCCAAGTCTACAAAGCCTTTTCTCCTCTTCCTCCTCCCTTCCTCCAAAATAAAAAAATAAAATACTACATGGCTGTTTTGAACCTCCTCCCTTGACTACATTCATTTTATTTTACCATCCACATTAATAAAAATGACAGAAAAGCCATGAACATCCCGTTAAAACGACCAAAACTTCTCTTCTTCTTCTCGGTTTTGCCCCTTCTCTTGCCCAAAGCTGCATAAAAATTACCGCGCCTTCATTATCAGCGAATAAAATGCGTCCAATTGACCTCCGGGCCCTCGGCGTACAAAATCTCGAATTTTAAAATTATGACAATCGAAAAGCGAACTTGATCAAGCATTCTTATTCATGTATGCGATTGACGTCGCGGGCTACTCTTTGAGCTGATTTCTCCTTCGTCTGGGATTATTAATAGCAAATTTTACGTGGTACCGGCTGGAGATGACTCCATAACTCCCTTCACTACTTACTACACTGATCATCACTTTCGTATATTCAAATACAGTAGGCATACTGTGGTGTAAACGATGATCACCATGATATATTTGATAGAAGTGACGTTTGTTCTATTATTATTCTGCGTTTTCATAGATTGGTAAGCGCTTTATTCGAATGGGAATTGAGTTTTTAGGTAAAGGTGTGGAGGTTTTGATGGAAAACGATTTTTGGAAAGAAAGTTATTGCGGTTTTGGGGCTAGAAAGAGCTCATTTTTAGCTGTTTTTGGCCAAAAATTGAACTTTTTGGGCAAAAAATTGTAAAAAAATTAAAAAATAAGTTATAAAATTGACTTTTTTTGACATTTTTTGCAAAAACCTTTAGTGGAAGCAAAGTTATTGCGGTTTTATGACCACTTATCGTCTTTCAAAGCCATTTTTTCAAGTTTTTTCCAAAAAATTTAAAAAAGTTGAAAAAAACAAAAATCTTGTTTTGTAAAGAAAGTTTTTGCGTTTTTTTAAATTTTCAAAACTATTTTTTTAATTTCAAAAGACGACCACAGGGTTTGACAACCTTTACAACAATTGCACTCTTGGTCAATTGCGAAATCGCGAGCCTGTCCGATCTGTCAAGTTAAGCAACGGTGCACTTGATTATTTCGGGCGGGTTCGAATCCGCTTAGATGTAATGACATTTTTTATTAAAGTTAGAGCTCCTCGGGCATTTTAAATAATATTTTGCTATTAAAAATGGTTTAGAAGACCTATAAAAATGTTTTAAAATTATTTTAATGTCACTTTAGGCTAAAAACATACTAATTTCATCATTTTTCAGCAATCCAGCCAGGTTTTACCCCTTCCCCTGCTCAAATAACGTTTCTTGCGGGTTCTTCAACTTTTGTCGCACAACCCCATGGTGTGAACATGGGCTATGTCGATGTGAACAAGACGTACTAGCATATGACTATTAGTATTTCAAGTACTAATACAAACTAGTACAACTGGTACTAGTACTATTAGGCGTTTATTTATTTTTAGGCTAGGGTAATGTCAAATTGATCCTCAAATTTTGATTTTTTAATGTTTTTTGTCACTTTACGAGTATTTTGTTATTGTTTTTCAGTTTTTCATTATGCTACAAAGATGTTTGTATATATTGTCTACTGATCTTGGCTACAGTGTTTTTCTCGAAATTTTAGAAAGTTTTTGTTGAAAATGTTTGAAAATGAATAAATCTTTAAAATGTTATTGTAATTTTGTTTTTAATCTTATTTTTGTACTATATTTGTATGTATTAAAATTCAAATTTTTCAAAAATTTGTTATAACTTTAGGTCCCACCACGAAAACCTGAAAAAGTAGAAAATAGACTATTGCTAACCACGCACAGTTAACAGTACTCTTACTTAACCGATTTTAGTATTAAAACCAACATATTTCAAAAAAATAATAAAAAACTTAAAACTGTAGGTCCCATCACGAAAACCTGTTAAACCTCAAAACCCACGTCTCAACGATCAAAAACATGTCAGAATAATTAAGCTACTCACTGAAACAACAAAAAAACTTGTAAGGTTAAGCCAGATTCATCGCAGAAGTAACTATTATGAAAACAAAGGATAACCCTATATTATCCATGAGGCTAATGATGTAAAACATGTTTTTTTACTGGATTTACCGGTTTTAAACAGTGATGTTTTAAAAAGTATTAATGGTAATACTTGTCATAAGCTATATATAACAACAAGTTTATACTAATAAGCTTTTTTACGTTACTTTTCTAGCTTTATATTGTACTATACATCAAAGTTTAGTAAATCACAGTGAAAGCTTTGTATCTTGGGATTCTACTGTGGTAAAGCTTTGAAAATTTGTAAGTTGAAGCATAATTAAAATCTAATTATTGTGCTAAAATTATAGGTTTTTTGGTTTGTCGTATTTTACAATATCAATCAATAATGTCGATCAAGTTCAATATTATCCTACTATTGCTGATCTCAATTCTGACGTTTGTGTATAGTCAAACCTGTGCAAATCGACCATGTGTGACTAGTCTAGACTGTTTGGCACCGTAAGTTATTAAAAGTTAGTTTTTAGTTTTTGTAAAGAAAGTTATTGCAAAGCGAAAGATTTGTAATGTATTTTGCACTGGAAATCTTCCACTCAACTTCCACCTCTAAAAAGTGTCAAAAACGTATTTTTAGGTCATTTTAAGACATTTTAAGTGAACGTATTATATTTTTAGGCTATTTTAGGACATTTTAGAGATGGAATTTGAGTGGAAGATTTGTAATGTATTTTGCACTGAAAATCTTCCACTCAACTTCCACTTTTTTACTTCATTTTTTAGGTATAAAACTCAATTTGTTTACATTTTTAGAGGCTGTGTTTGCAACTTGGGCGATGTAATGCAATGTAATGCTCGTATCTGTACTTGTGTTCGATGTGCTATTGGATAGTACTATTTTTTCATCGAATAGTACTATCGTTATACCTATATACTTATCTTGTACTAGCTGTTACCTATACTTATATTGTACTAGCTTGATTATACAATAAACAACTTTACAACCCAAAAGACTAGTCATAATGAACTAAAAACAAAGTTAGGATAAACAAAAGATAATCTTGTAGACATTAATCATACGTCTGATCTTACTATATATTAACTATGATTTGACTAGTACTAGCTTTTATCTTTATTTACTGCTGGTTATGATGACCAGACTTTTATCTGTATTAATATTGCTTCTACTGTTCATAATAACTGTAGTAGACAGCCAAACAACCGGCTGTCTTCTCAAACCGTGTACTACCGCTTTGGACTGTTTGGGACCGTAAGTGTATTGTAGATTTGAATTTATACTGTAGTTTTGTATACAATATAGTGCAAACAAAATACTGTAGTGTAAGTCAGTAAGTAACCGAAACACTTTCAGAGGCTGTATTTGCAAATTGGGAGAGCTGATGACATGTAGAGCTCGTATATGTGCTTGCGTTGCTAGTGCTGGATGAAGAACGTATAATATGTTACAGTATTCTTCAATAACACTATATAAATTACAGTACTTTTAATGTAAATAAAAAGCTTTGTATAAAAAGCTGTGTGAGGCTAAGCCAGATTTACTAAGCATAAGCGTACTAAACCTAAGTCTAATAACTCTAAGCCTATTAAGCTTAAAACTACTAAGCCTATGCCTACTAAGAATAAGCTTACTAAACCTAAGACCTGTGCCAATTTTTTTGGAAAAAAAATTTTTTTTAAGTTTATCAAGCCTAACTTACTAAGCATAAGCCTACTAAACTTACGCCTACGAACTGTGCTTAATAATCCTAAGCTTACTAAGCTTAAACTTACTAAGTCTAAGCCTATTAAACCTAAGCCTACTAAATTTAATTCTACTAAACCTAAGCCTACTAAGCTTAAGCCTACTAAGCCTAAGCCTACTAAGCCCAATCCTACTAAGCCTAACACTAAGTCCGCTTAATTTGACTAAACTTGAGCCTAAACTTACTAAGCCATCGACTATTAAGTTTAAGCCTACTAAACTAGCGTTTAGTACGTCTATGCTTAATAAGCCTTTAGTCCAAGCGTGTCTACCATCTTTTAAAAATCGTTGAAACTAAACCGTTTTGTCACATTATATGTCCCTCCCACATCAATATAATGTAAGTTCTCTGACACCCGAAGAGCATGATACGGTCGGTCTACATACAAACGTGTTGACACAGTAAAAAAGTCTGAGAACGGTCTGAATAAGTCATTTTAGTTCGAATTTCACGTGTTTCTACGTCAATATGTGAGCTGAAAACCTTTCGTTTGCTACTTTGAAACATATCTGACATATAAAGGAATTGAGAGTATGGTACTGTAATATTACAAAGATCTTCTTTTTTGTAAACTTGGTCTTACAACTACTATTTTGATACTTAAAGTACTAGTTTGATTACTGTAGCTACTATCAAAACTCAATATTGCTAAACTGTTCAATTCTTCATTCTACAGTAGTCTCATATAACTAAAAGTAGTGCTATTACTACCGCACTAGATCAGTCATCGCGCTGACATTAAGATACTTATCACAACACTAGTACTAAGGTAATTCGCTTAGTCATAACGCTGATATTGAAATACTTTGTTGCGTCATAGCACTGATACTAATATTGTAACAGTATTTTTAGTTATAGTACTACTCTGTACTAGTACTCATTTTTTCGATAGTATGACAGAACATGTCAATCGAACGTTAAGAGTACTGTTCCCACACGAATTTCCGGCCGTTTCGAATACTTGTTCCAAATTCCCTCATCTTGGAGTATCAGTACGATGCGCTTATCCTGGACTGCTTATAGAGGTACGTTTAATATTCAAAACAATGTCAATAACAAGTGTCGCTTTAGATACTGATAATTCTTACCGACCACATAAACGTCACAATAGAGCCAGTAGTAGTCGATGATACAAATTATAATGGCAACCTAGTCATTGGCACTATAGTACGTCAATTTTTACCCTACCCTACCCTACCCTACCCTACCCTACCCTACCCTACCCTACCCTACCCTACCCTACCCTACCCTACCCTACCCTACCCTACCCTACCCTACCCTACCCTACCCTACCCTACCCTACCCTACCCTACCCTACCCTACCCTACTCTACCCTACCCTACCCTACTCTACTCTACCCTATCATACTGTGCCTTACCCTACCCTACCCTACCCTACCCTACCGTTTCGTTTTATAATGATATTTTTAGTCTGGTAATAATGTGACAGGTATAATGAAGTACGTGTACGATGGATTTGTAGATACGATAGCCTACCCATTTCAAAGAACTATTATACGAAGGCAGCTGTTTGAGTTTAGTGACACTTTATATAATGTAAGTTCTTTATGAAGGGATTTTTTAAGTAGTAAACTAAGTTTTTGTAGTTTTGTTACAAGTAAACACACTATGGCGCTTGTTTCTTAAAATGGAAGTTGAGTGGAAGATTGCAAAATACATTACAAATCTTCCACTCAACTTTCACTTCCAAAAAGTGTCAAAAAAGTGTTTTAAGGCGGCCTTAAAACATTTTTAAAAATGGAAGTTAAGTGGAAGATTTTCCGTGCAAAATACATTACAAATCTTTCACTCAACTCTCACTTTCTAAAATGTTTTAAAAAGCTAAAAGCTTTATATAAAAACCTCATTTTAAAAATATTTTTTATAAAAAAATTTTCAGAGTGAATTAAACATTCTCCGCCGACGCGTAGACATAAGCGAAGACTCGTTATGGTCGTTCTTTACCGTATACGACCGTGTCAGCTATGTTGTAATGGGTGTGATTTTCTCATTACAAGCCCTATTCTACTTGGTTAACGAGTTTTGTGCTGGAGAATTGCAAAAGATTGGCTTCAGGCATATTAACAATGTGAGACGGCGTTCTGAAGTACAGGTTTTATTGTATAAACTGCCTATTTTAAAAATTTTTTTTCTCTATAACATTAATTTTTAATTGGTAATACTTTTTTTAGATTTTTTAGTTATTGATTTACTTTTTTTTAACTGTAAACAAAGTTTTTGCAGCTTTAATGAATTTAGAAAAAACTTGTTTTTAGTCGTTGTGGAATGCGCTCAAGCTGCAGTTAGGAATGCCAATTGAAGTATCATGGAGAAGTTACGGTGGTATGTTATATTTTGATATAAGGCATGGCTTAGAGGGCTTTTATTACGCTTAGGCTTATTAATAGAAAACTAAAGATTAATCTTAAGCTTATGATTAGGCTTAGGTTTAAGCTTAGGTTTAAGTTTAGGCTTAGGCTCAGGCTTATGCTTAAGCTTAGGCTTAGGCTTAAGTTCAGGCTTAGGCTTAGGTCCAGGCTTAGGCTTAGGCTTAGGCTTAGGCTCAGGCTCAGGCTTAGGCTTAGGCTTAGGCTTAGGCTTAGGCTTAGGCTTAGGCTTAGGCTTAGGCTCAGGCTCAGGCTTAGGCTTAGGCTTAGGCTTAGGCTTAGGCTTAGGCTTATTCGTAAGCATAGTCTTAGGCTTAACCTTAGACTAAGGCTTAAGTTCAGAACTAGGTTCAAACTTAAGCTTAGGCTTAATCTTAAGCTAAGGCTTTAAATTATGCTTACGTTTAAGCGTATACTTTGGATTGCTTTAGGCTTAAACTTAATCTCAAACTAGGCTCAGACTCAGGATGAGGCTTAGCAACTTAAGATTTTGTAATGATTATTATGCTTTAGCTCAGCAGACTTTGCAAGCGTAACTTTAAGCTTGATTACAGTCGGACTTAAACTTGTTAGGATATGGGTTCACCGCCTATTGAGATATTTGACCAACCAGGCATGGTGGTCAAGAATGTCGAGTCCGCCCGACCCAATGAAAATTCAAAAACTTTGGATTCGCGCGACTTCTGTGTCTGTCTGTTCGAAAAGGGGTTTACCCTCCGTTTTCGAGTATAAATCCGATAATTGAATAATTTATCAAAATTTACTTTCACAAAATATAACAATATAACTTAAAAATCACAAATTAAACAAAAATAGAATAGATTGATAACCAATACAAGATTGTATTAAAAAGATGACAGAAGTGGCTACAATATGTACTCTGACTATTCTAATCAATGATACAACAATAAACACAAATAAAACCTTCTCTAACACTCCTTCTCAATGATACCGACACTTTTCAAAACCTTTATGGTCTTTTAGGAACATAAATTTTCAAATTTCAGCCAAATTCAACATGGTGTTCGTATCCATGCTGCAAGGCGTGATCCTAATGGGCGTCTACTCTAGTTGGATTTTGACTCAAAAGTACGCGGACGATGTTAAAAATGATTTACAGACCCATAACGATCTGATACGACAGATATCGACCGGTAATCGGTACTTTGCTGATGGTACCGGGCATCATTGGTTCTATGAAGCCATTAACCATAGCACTATGTTTCCTTACGCTGACTTGAGAACGGCCATGAAAAGTAGGTCGTAGTGGTACTGTTGGTACTGTTTTTGGATTTTTTGGTTGAAAGTGTTACTAATGGTACTGTTTTTGAATTTTTTAGTGGGAAGGGATCTTAAGAGTACTGTTTTAGTTATAATGGTACTGTTTGATTCTAATAATATTTTTTGGTGTTACTAGTACTGCTTTAGTTATAATAGTACTGTCCTTGTTATAATGGTGCCGTTTGGTTCCAATAGTACTTTTTGGTGCTAATAGTACAGTTTGACTTTTTGTAATAATCTTGTTTGGTTTTAGAGTTTCAAATAGTACTAATGGTACTCTTTTTTAAACTTTTTAATAGTGGTGCCAATAGTACTGTTTTTTGAATTTTTTGGTACTATGTGGTAATAGTCGTACTATTTGTTGTACTTTTTATAATAGTGGTGCTATTTGTAAATCAACACTAAAAAACGTATTAACAATATATTTTTTGGTACTAATCTACATTGTTTTTTTTTAAGATACACCACTAGTAATAACCGGAAACAGCCGGCTGGCACTAGAACGAGCAGCTTCTGGATCAGCTCTGGTAGCTGTAATGGAAGACGAACTGGTCAATTTAAGGGCAAAAAAGTATTGCAAGTACGTGAAAAACCAAATTTTTAAGCCCTAAGGTTCCAAAATGTCATTTTTTGTCCAAAAACGACTAAATTGTAAAAAGTGGAAGCTGAGTGAAAGATTTGTAATATATTTTGCACTGAAAATCTTCCACGTAACTTGCTTTTTGAAAAAGTCTTAAAATTGCTTAAAAATGAGTTTTTAACAAGTTTTAGAAGTGGAAGTTTGGTGGAATATTTGTAATGTATTTTGCACTGAAAATCTTCCACCCAACTTCCGCTTCTAAAAAGTGTCAAAAGCGTGTTTTTAAGCCATTTCAGGCTTTTTTAAAAGTGGGAGTTTGGTGGAAGATTTTCAGTGCAAAATACATTACAAATCTTCCACCCAACTTTCACTTTTAAATAAGGTTCAAAATGGAAAAATCTGTATTTCCAGCCTAATTCCAATGGACCAGCCGATGACCGTGGCTACAGTACACTTACTTTTTGCCAAAAACAATTCGTTTTTCCCACGGCTAAACGAAGCCATTGAGTTGAACCGGCTGTCAATTCAGCGGGTGTTCCAAAAGTACCTGGATTACGGTGACAGGATACGAGACTGTAATAAGAATGGTCAAATGCAGACTAAAAAGCCGTATTATGGGTTGACATTGGTTTGGATGGGGTTGTTGTCGACCGCTTCGATATTGTTTGTGATGGAATGTGGTTATTATTGGATTCGAGTCAAGATTCGAGTTTATCAGAAATAGTTTTAATTTTAATTTTTACTTTGCACTTGTCAGTAAATGAAACTGACTTTATGTATATATTAAACTCATCTTATATTAATTAGAATGGTCTTATTTTTTAAAAAAGGTTTGGTAGGCTTAGAATACATAGGCCCAAAAAGGCCCAAGATTGAAACGTTTAGGTTTGAGCTTAAGTTCAAGTTTAGCCGTAGGTTTAAACGCTTAAACCTAGCTTTAAAGTTAGACATAGACTTAAGCTTAGCTTCAGGTTTAGTCTTGTTTTGCTAAAACTTACACTTAAGCTTAGGATTTAGCTGTAGGTTCAGCTTATGATTAAGCGTAGGCTTAGCTGGCTTAGGCTTAAGCTTAGAGTTAAGCGTAAGCTTAGCTGGCTTAGGCTTAAGCTTATGTTTAGAGTTAAGAGTAAACTTAGCTGGCTTAGGCTTAAGCTTATGTTTAGAGTTAAGAGTAAACTTAGCTGGCTTAGGCTTAAGCTTAGAGTTAAGCGTAAGCTTAGCTGGCTTAGGCTTAAGCTTATGTTTAGAGTTAAGAGTAAACTTAGCTGGCTTAGGCTTAAGCTTAGAGTTAAGCGTAAGCTTAGCTGGCTTAGGCTTAAGCTTATGTTTAGAGTTAAGAGTAAACTTAGCTGGCTTAGGCTTAAGCTTAGAGTTAAGCGTAAGCTTAGCTGGCTTAGGCTTAAGCTTATGTTTAGAGTTAAGAGTAAACTTAGCTGGCTTAGGCTTAAGCTTAGAGTTAAGCGTAAGCTTAGCTGGCTTAGGCTTAAGCTTATGTTTAGAGTTAAGAGTAAACTTAGCTGGCTTAGGCTTAAGCTTAAGTTTAGAGTTAAGCGTAAGCTTAGCTGGCTTAGGCTTAAGCTTATGTTTAGAGTTAAGTGTAAGCTTAGCTGGCTTAGGGTTGGTAGACTTAAGCTTAGTGCGTTTGGGCTTATTTGGCTTAAACTTTTCAGCCTTAGGATTAGTAGGCTTAGGTTTAGTAGGTTTAGGCTTAGTAGGCTTAGCCTTAGTAGGCTTATGCTTAATAGACTTAGTAGGTTTAGACTTGTTAGATTAGACTGGAACTTAATAACTTAATAGCCGTATTTCTATTACATACATTTAATCTTTATTTAAGCTTAAAATTTTGAAAAAATTTTTGAAATTTAAATTTTTTTTCAGCTAATCCCGAAATCCTTAACAGGCTTTTAAGAAAATCCGCAAAAAACGGGTCTAAAACAAAGCTAATTTGCATATTGACCGCGTTTTGCCGCTGCCCAAACGTAGTTTGTCTAATTTTTGGGCCTATTTTAATTCGATTTTTCTTCCGCGCAAAAGCCTAAAAATTCGCTTAGAGGCAGGCGGCTGGCAATTTAAACAAATTTTTGTTTTAACGCGCCGCGTTTTTTTTCGAGTCCCGCAGGCGCAATTTAAAAAATGTTAACTTGGTAAAAAGATTTTTCGTTTCGAGCGCGTGGAAAGAAAGTTCTTGTCATTTTTACAGAAAATTACAGGAGAAGTATGGCGGATTCTTTATGTCGGCACCTAATATGATAGAGTGGCTGTACATCGCAAAAACTTTATAAGGGTTTTATTCCTCTGTTTGCATCAAGAATAATGTCATATTTAGGTCCGTACTGGTTTATTTATAGGTTTTTACTCGATCATTTTTAGGTTCGTTCTCAATCATTCCGATGCTTCGTCATCAACGCTTTAAATATTGTCTTCAGGCGCATATTTTTTGATATTTTTCGAGTAAAAAGCGGGAAATCCCCGGACATCCATATTCCGACTCCATTCTTTTGAATTTTATGATGAGAGCCGGGCTTCTTCTTCTTATTGTTTTTTCGGCCCCGGAGGCAAGCGGAGGTTTGAAGAAATTTATGGCTAATTTGGGGCTTTTGAAACGGTTAAAAGTAATGAGGTAATTCGCCCAAAACGTTTTTTACATTTTTTATTTTGGAACGTTGAGGTTTATATTTTGGGGGGGGTGGGTTAGTGGTACAGTAGCATATATAGATGGTGTAAAGTTGGTATCAATTAGTGCAAAGTGAATACAAGATTAAGTAGTAAAACTGATGATATTATAGGTTAAAGCAGACCTACAGAGCAATAAAGATTAATTTTCTAGCTTAAGGCTCGGCCAATAAAGGAGAAGGTAGTGAAACATACGGCAGTGTTAAGTATGATTGTATATAATAAGATATTATATAGGTAAGATAAAGTAAGATAAGATATAACCAGGTTAGGGCAAGTTTGACAGTATAAAATTAGACAGGATGACATAAAGTATGTATTATTGGAGTACAGTAGGAATGAATAGTGGGGGCTACAAAGCAAGTTTAAGGCCGGGAAAGGTAGTAGGTGATAGGGTAAGGTTAAGTAAGGCAGCTTGGGATAAAGCAGGCCAAGGCAGGGTAGCGTAAGACGGGTTAAGGAACTGTAGAGTAGTGTAGGGTAAGATGGGTCAGGATAGGGCCGGGTAGGATAAAGCGTTGCAGGATAATGTAGGGCCAAGTAGGGTAAAGTAAATTAAGGTAGGGTAGGGTAGGGTAGGGTAGTAACAAGTCTTATTTAAAAAGTTCTTTCATTTGAACTTTTGACTTCATATAGATGTAATGTTTGCTCAAGAGTATAAGTCATTGAGTATACCTTACATATAGCACTTTACAACATGTTATACATACATTGATGTTCTCCTACATCTTATACACATCTTTAATTTTGACTATATGACACTTTTTCACAAGCCCCACTAATGAATTTCCTATTTTTTCGAAAATTAGCCCTAAACATGTGCAGTGAAGCCTACAGTCGAATGCATTGAAAAGAGAATGGTCATTTGTGGTGGGATCGTATGCATTACATTTGTTGTTGATGTCATCTTACTCTCTCCTTCTTTTCGACTTTTTTTTCGAAATTTCTCGTTTTTCATGCTCTTTTGGTACGTTCTGGTACATTGGCAAACATTTTTTGACCTTTCTTCATATTGCGTTTATATGTAAATTAATGTCATAGTTTGTTGACATATTGAAAATTAATGTCTTATTTGATTGTTCAAATAATTTCGAGCCCCCTTTTAAAGCAAATTTTTTGGAATTGAGGGCACATAATTATTTGAACAATCGAGTTGGTATAAAATGAGCCGATGACCACATTTTGAGCTAAAAGTAGCCAAAAAATTGAAAAATAGGCTTAATAAGCTGTTTTTCAATATGGAAGTTGAGTAGAAGATTTGTAATGTATTTTGCACTAAAAATCTTCCACTTAACTTCCACTTTTAAAATGTATTAAAATGGCCTAAAAACACGTTTTTAACACTTTTTAGAAGTGGAATTTTGGTGGAAGATTTTCAGTGCAAGTTACATTACAAATCTTCCACTCAACCTTTACTCCTAAAAACTGCTAAAAACTCATTTTTAAGCCATTTTTAAAATTTTTTGAATCATCTTCCACTTTTTGAAAAAGGGGATTTTTAGCTTAAAATGAATTGTAAAATGAGGTTTTTTGACTGAAAAAGTTAAAAATTGGTTTGAAATTTCATTTTTCATTTTTAAATTTTAAAAATTGCGGATTTCAGTACGTTGTGATCTAAATATTAGGTGCCGACATAAAGAGCCCGCCATTCTTTGCCTGTAGTTTCCTGTAAAAAGTGGCGGGTTCTTTATGTCGGCACCTAATAAATGGCAAGAACTTTCTTTACAAAACAAAAAATGGCAAGAACTTTGTTTACAAAACAAAAAATGGCAAGAACTTTCTTTACAAAACATAAAATGGCAAGAACTTTCTTTACAAATCAAAAATGGCAAGAACTTTCTTTACAAAACATAAAATGGCAAGAACTTTCTTTACACAACATAAAACGGCAAGAACTTTGTTTCTTATACTTGCACTTTAAGTAGGTTTCGGCCTAAATATTCCAATTTTAGGTACCTTTCGGCCTAAATGCTTGCACTTTAAGCACGTTTTGGCCTAAAAGTTCAAATTTAGGCTTAATATTGCCAAAAACCGCATAAATCCCCGAAAAATCGATGAAATCTCGTTTAAATTCATAATGAATCCGGCTCGAATTTCGGCACGATTTTTTGCCCAACCTTGGCCCCAAAAGTGGTCGGCCAAGTTTGAAATTCGAGCTTCAGGGGAGCGGCCGTTTCCAGTTCATTTTGGCAAAAGCGGGCCAGAACCACTTTCTCTGGTGCCAAATTTCATTTCGCGTCTTGTTTTTGGACAACAAGAACATTACTTTATAATTAGTGCATAATTGCTTTTTAAGCTTTTTTTTCGGCTAAAACTCGGTTACTTTTTTTTTGTTAGGGGGTGGTTTTTGGTTGTAAACGGGAATTTTGGAAAAAGAATGTTAGAAAGAGGGGTCTAAAATGGTCGTTACTAACTTTTATTTTCTTAAGAATTCCATTTTTGATCAAAAAATCGAATTATAGCCTCTAATTAACATTTTTAAAAAATGGAAGTTAAGTGGAAGATTTGTAATGTATTTTGCACTAAAAATCTTCCATGAAACTTCCACTTCTAAAAAGTGTAAAAAAAGTTCATTTTTTGACCATTTTAAGACATTTTGAAAAAGGAAGTTGAGTGGAAGATTTCCAGTGCAAATTACATTACAATTCTTCCACTTAACTTCCACTTTCAAAAAGTGTCTAAAACTTGTTTTTAGACCATTTTACGACATTTTAAAAATGAAAGTTGAGTGAAAGATTTTTAGTGCAAAATACATTACAAATCTTACACCCAACTTTCATTTTTTAAAAGTTGTAAAAAAATTGATTTTTGGGTCAAATTTGATTTGAAATTCAATTGTAGGCTTGGAGAAACTGAAAAATGTATATTTTGGCATAAAATATAGTTGTGGGAGGCATAAGTGTTAAAGTTAAGCCTAATTTTTAATAAAAATAAGCATAACTTTAAGCCTATACGTTAATAAAAGCTCAATTCCAAATATGTTTTTGTTGTTATAAATTCATATGTCAGAAGCCGAAAAACGGCGGGTTATTTGGAGTTTATTTTACCAAA